TGAAAGTCAGCTGGATGACTTTCACATCCTTTCAGCCCAATCTACCTCACAGGGTTGTTGCAGGGAAAATAGGAGGAGGAAGAATATTAGGTATGTTTGCTGCTTGAATTGTATACGGAAAAAAAGGCAGGATAAAAATCTAAAGAATAAAAAAAAGCTACCAGAACAGGGATCGTGTTTAGGTGATCTCATAAACCAATAGGTGTACAGGATGGGGGCACATTTATTAAAAACAATAAAGGCATAAGGAAATCTAAATAAAATAAGCAACATATTTATTCTGGAAAAGCGGAACAGAATACATGAACAACTTGTAGAAAACAAAGCTTAAAGCCAGCACCCTAACTGGACAGCTGGCTTTGCTGTCAATACAAGAAGCTTACACCAAGGTAAGAGGCTTAGAAGTTACCCAACGCTTTCCCTCTGGTGGGAACTGTGGCTGATCACTCAGGGAGTCACAAGCTTGTCTGCTCCTTGCTGAAAAGAAGCTGCTAAACTTCCCTGTAGTTCCTGTTGTCAAAAAGGTTTCAGGAGGGGTTGTCTCCAAAGTGCTGTGCTCTGATGCATCTACTCCACATTTGTCATGACTGTGGAGCCAGGCAGAGAGAGCTACGGTATCAGCACCATGCTTTCTGAGGGAAATGTGTCTGGATTTTTGTGTCCAGGATAAAGCTAAGGATCATACCATGTTGTTCAGGGGGATTTGGTGGTTAGGACAATAGGCTTCCATTTTCAGAGAATAAAAACTTCTCTGTTTTGCAGCATCCAATTCCTTTGATTCAGAGATAATGTTTGACTGAAGCAACTGAATGGTTTTGAGCTGTTTCGAGCTGAGACTCAGGGATGAGTCATCAGGAAAGGGGGGGGGGAAGGAAAGTACCAATCCACCATAAAATGCATAACTGATGGTCCTCCAGATGCTGAACCATGATTCCTAGCAGATCCAACAGCATAGAGAATAGTGAGGAATCCTAGGAAAGGTAGTTCTACAACATCAGGAGGACCATATATAGACCATACCCATTTCAATGCTTCCCTCACCTAACACAATCTAAGTGTTTGGGGGACCCCAATTACCTCAGTCACCAATAAATTTGAAGGGCATGCAGTTGAGGAAGTAAACCTTACAGAAAGTGCAGCCTTCAGATTTGAACTCATGACCTAAAGCAGTTTTGTCATCCTCACCAAGTAGTCCAGACAAGAAATGTGACCAGTTGAGTTAATTCTATTTTATTGCAAGGCTACATTAATAGAATCTTATAAGTCTGAAAGTACAAATCTCTTATCCCAAGATGCTTTTTCAGGAGGCAACTGGACTTTCTTGTTTTCTTTGAAGATGTTTCGCTTCTTGTCCAAGAAGCTTCTTCAGCTCTTACTATTATCTCTTACTATTTCTTTTTGTGTCCTGTAGAATTAAGAAGGATCCTTTCTGAATTTATTCCTTTGCCTATTATGCAGGTGTGGGCTCCCATTTCCTTTATCTGATCATTTCCTAGCTATCTCTCCCCCATCCCCAGATCATTTCCCACATACCGTTACAAGTTTTGAACTGAAATGAAATCTACACACATATATTTTGGCATGGGAAATTTCCACTCAAATATGAATGCTGCATAATAGTTTAAAATTGGTATCCAAATTAATTACTGAAGATAATATATATAGCTACCATATTGCCATGAATAAACCTGCAGCAGATAATCAGAAATAAAATAATTAGAAAAATGCACAGATAAAGATAAAGAGCTAGGAACACTTCCCTCATCTGCAAACAATAGTGGGCTGAAGCTATTGCAAAATTTGTATTCAAGCAGATACTATTTTGTTTTTGTTTTTTTTAGCATAACACTACTGGAGTAAGGAAAAAAAGCTCTATATTTCTACATTGAAAAAAAACCCCAAAATACAGCATTGAATAAATAGCAATAATATAATCAAATAGCATCACATCAATTTCACCTCCATACAAACAACACAGCAGCTCTGTCATGTTCCAATGACAATTGTGAAGGTCTGTGGGAAGCTGAGTTGTGGAATTCATCTAAGGTAGGAATCCTTTAAATCAGGGGTAGTCAACCTTGGCTCTTTTATGACTCGTGGACTTCAACTCCCAGAATTTCTGAGCTAGCTAAGGCTCAGGAATTTTGGGAATTGAAGTCCATGAGTCATAAAAGAGCCAAGGTTGACTACCCCTGCTTTAAATCAATGTTTCTCAGCCTTAGGAATTTTAAGAGATCTGGACTTCAACTCCCAGAATTCTCTTACTAATATGCTAAGGAATTCCGGGAGCTGAAGTCCACACATCTTGCCAAAGTTGAGAAACACTGCTTTAAACATTACAAGTTTCTTTATTAGCTATATTAATATCTATTAATATTAATAGCTAGTAAGCAAATCATAGAGGCAACAGAGATCGCCATTTGTTGAAGTTATTGAACCAAGAAATTGATTATACATCCCTGATCAGTTTTATTACACTATGATTGCAAACTCTACAAGACACCAGTAAAAGCATTAAGTGTTTTATTCCACATGACAGAAGACATAAAAGTGAATATCAGGACAGTAGGTATCCAAGGACTTCATTCAAATGCAGCTGGGTTGGGTGAATAATTCAGTTTCCTGTGAATGCATGTTATTTCATTTTAAAGCAAGCATATTTCTCTCTCTCATGGGTGCAAGAACAAATTATACATGTGATCCCCAAGGAAATATTAGAAATTTGGCATGGAATTAGAAATTAGAATTAGGAAGGGGAAAATGATTTTGTGGGCTTATTTAATTCCTTATCTTTTGATGTAGCTAATGGAATCAGAAAAAAAATGAAGCATTAGGGGCACATTTGCATAAATCAATGCAGAATGTAGAACAGCATATTACTAGTACAGCAGTAGTAGAAAATATGCCTCTTTAAGTAAAATAGAATGAGAGTAAGATGTGACACAAAGGCTATCTAACCCACTCCCTTTGCTGGGAGGGGTCATCAACAGAAAACTCTCCATTTCAATACAGAAAGCATAGAGTGAGAAAAATCTTTGACTGTCAGTCAGAATAGAGAAAAATCTATGACAGAGGAAAGTGGATTGACCCTGTTGTGAAAATATCTGGCCTTTTCCTTGAAATGCTCAGTTGGTTATTGATTTATTATTGTTGGTTTTTTTTTAAAAAAAGACATATCTCAAAGTCTTTTAACTTAAGTAAATGTAAGTAAAATTATGAAGATGAAATTCAGCTTTAGTTCCCCAGAAACAAATGAGCTCTGTCTTTTAATCGTTTGGCCAATGGGCCCCAAACCATTGGAATAACAACTGATGGCTGATCAAACTGACATAATATTCACGTTCAAGACATTCAAGAAAACAGCAGACATATTAGGCATAAGCATATGAGGCTACTGAATCGGCTTTGGTTGATCTTCTCTCATTATTCTTCCAGCTTGCCTCACAGCAGTGTTTATATTATTTTATTTATTAAATTTATAGGCCACCCATCTCGCTATCCAAAGCGACTTTGGGCGGCTGTTTCTAGCTATTGTCCTGGTGGCCAAATGGGAAGGAAGCTAAAGAAAGTTGACTTGACAATATCATCTGAATATATTAGGAAGCTGCCATCAAATATTGGTTTCGTAGCTCAGCAGCAGAGTGGGGGAGGGTCTCTGAGGTTCAGGCCTGAGTCTTCCAACCCTCTCTGAAGATATTAGAAGGTTGTACCTGGAAGCTTTTGCATGCCAAGATCACAACCCTTCCACTGAGCTATGCTCCCAGCCAAATGAACACAGTTGCCTAATGAACAATCTATTTCATTATTGACTTTTCTCAGGGGGAAAAAAGGACTTTTTCGCTACAGAGTCTTTTCTTAAAGGGAGGGTTAGGACTGAAACAAATGCCACCCATATAGCTCAGAGGAGTTACATCATTTCAAATAATAGAATCATAAGGCTGGAAAGGACCTTGAAGATCTTCTAGTTTAAACCCCTGCCCAAGGCAGGCGTCCTCGGCTTACAACAGTACTTTTAATAAGCATTCAGAGTTACAACTTCAAAAAGTGACTTATGACCATTTTTCACACTTGCAACCATTGCCGAATCCCCACGGTTACATGATCAAAATTCAGATGCTTGGCAACTGGTTCATATTCATGACAGTTGCAGTGTCTTGGGATCATGTGATCCCATTTTACGACCTTTTGACAACCAAAGTCAGTTTCAATTAACAGCTGTATTACTAACCTAACAATTGCAGCAATTTACTTAACAACTGTGGTTTTGAAAGGTCTTCAAATGGGTCATAAATCACTTAACAAATGCTTTGCTTAGCAACTGAACTTTGGAGTTCAGTTGTGATTGTAAGTTGAGGACTATCTGTAGCATCTTATACATAGCTGTGAGTTATCTGGCTTTTTTGAGATTAGTGCTGTTACTCAGAAATCTAGATTTCAAGAAATGAGGCAACCCTGGCTTCTGTCCCCCTCCCCCTTTCTTTCTTTATTATGCCTGAACTTTATGGAAGAGAAGGAGAAGGACTCCCTAGGCTGAAATCCTATTATCGCTTACTTGGAGTTAAGACTCTGCAGAATTACTTCTGAACTGTCATGCATAACATCAGGATGTCCATGAAACAAAAAGGAGGCGGTCAAGAAGAAAGAAGTGGAGAAGAAGACAACAAATGAAGTCAGTGGCAGCTAATTTCTGGATTCAGAAATAATTAGGAATTATTAGGAGAATTTCCAGGTTGCAGTCTGGAAACTTAATGGTTCTTCTCTTTCTTTCTTTCTTTCTTTCTTTCTTTCTTTCTTTCTTTCTTTCTTTCTTTCTTTCTTTCTTTCTTTCTTTCCTTCCTTCCTTCCCTTCCTTCCTTCCTTCCTTCCTTCCTTCCTTCCTTCCTTCCTTCTTTCCTTCCTCTCTCTCTCTTTTTTTCTTTCTTTCTTTCTTTCTTTCTTTCTTTCTTTCTTTCTTTCTTTTCCTCCTCCTCCTCCTCCTCCTCCTCCTCCTCCTCCTCCTCCTCCTTCTTCATGACTGGAAACTTGTTCTTGTATTTATAAACGGAATTATTCCATGAAGTATGGTGAATGCAGACCCCATGCTTATACTGGTAAGAAAAGAAATCCTCACAGAGCTTCTTAAATTCTTAATACCATGAAACAAATGATAGCTACTATTGTCTGACCACTCTATGGGCAGTGGAATTTTCTGCTTGCAGCTGTGGTGTTTAATCTTCTCCACCAGAACCAGCACCACATGAAGACTGTTTAGAAACAGCTAAGCCAACTCGGTCATGATCTCGGTCAAAGACTGAGTAGTATCGTCGGAGGAAAACATCTCCCAGGATCCAGAGTGGTCCTGAGGGTTTGGGGATGTCGAGGATCATGAATCCACTGATGCAAGCAGTCACTTTTTCCTGGGTCATCTGTGGGAGAAAGGAGACACCTGGATGATGGGCTTATGAACTTCAAGGTTTCACATTTTCATCACTGCAGATCTTTCCCCTCAGCTTAACAAAGGCCCTTGCTGATCCATGACAGCTGAAGAAGACAGGAACTCATAGATTTTTCCTCTTCTCAACTTCTTGCACAATTCATAATCAAAGATGCCATCAACTGAACGTTCAACTTTATGGAGACATGGCCACATCCAGTGAGGTCCCAATGACAACCTTTGATCCCTTAAACATGATTAGGGTCTAATCCTACTGGAGGGTGCCAGACTGTGGTATGCTGGGGTAATTATGCTGGGGTAATAATTTCTTGGAAACATGTATTTGTCCTGATTTCCAGCTGTTCATTTATATGTTGCTCGAGAACAACAACAAAACTGCATATTACTGAAAGTCTCCCTTGCCCACCCACCCCCAAAAACAGGTAAATAAAGTTTCCCTAGGATGATCCAGTGATATTTTATTATTTTAATCTAGAGTCTGGATTGGAAGGATTTACAGGAAATGTGAACTGCTTATGAGCACTTGTCCCTGTTGTGAAGCCTTCAAAGTAACTTCAAATGTTGTTACCAAAATTTGATGGAATTGTTTTCCATCTCATCTTATATTTTATATCATTAAACCTCCCCAATTTTTTTTTAAAAAGGGCCAGGCTGGGTGGAGAGAATCCCTAATGACATCATGTTATTTTAGGGTTTCATTTTTTTTAATTTGTAAAATGAAATATGGTCTCTGGAGGAACAAATCCTCTGCCGTAGATCTTATAGAACCTTCCTTTCAGTATTCATGATATTATGAGGAGATCAGGATTCCACTGGTTCCAGATTTCCACAGGGTGCAGTAAAAAAAAATCAAGATGGGGTCTGTGACAGTGGGATTGATTTTATGTGTGTTAGGCCACTCTCTTAACATTTTTTTCATACTTTGTGGACACCTTGGCTTCAAAATATGTCAGCCAACACTGCTATATTTGGGGACCTCCAGTTGAGTAGGATCTTAATCTTTTTCCCTGGTCATGATCTGGTTCCATCATCAAGACATTCTAATCCAGGGAACTGCATCACAATTTCAATCTTAAAATCTTGGGAAAATTCTTCACTGACTGGAGGCTCACTCCTAGGTAATACCAGCAAAATGGTAACTACCGGTATGTACTTTTACCTTAACAACAAAATAGCATACGAAGCCTCAAAGCTCTACTTAAACAACTTACTCCCCTATAATTCTCATCCCCTATAATCCTATAATCCAATGTTACTCCAAGTTGGTCCAAACTCTCTCCTATAAGATACACCTGGAGAATATAGTGGCAAAATAACATATTCCAGAAATTATGTAGAACTAAATGCGGAGTTTCAGCTGCCACTCTCAGGACATCAGCATTGGGTTGATATACTGTGGAGCTGAAAACAGTTACTTAATACTAATTAAGAGCCTTGGTGGCGCAGTGGTTAGAATGCAGTACTACAGGCTGCTTCTGCTGACTGCTGGCTGGCTGCAGTTTGGCAGTTCGATTCTGACCAGCTCAAGGTTGACTTGGCCTTCCATGCTTCCAAGGTCGGTACAGTGAAGACCCAGATTGTTGGGGGCAAAATGCTGACTCTGTAAACTGCTTAGGGAAGGCTGTAAAGCACTGTGAAACAATATAGAAATCTATGTGCTATTGCTATTGCTAACAGCTGCCATGCTAGTAAATTAGATACCAGACTTAACGACACCACGGGGATTATAAGTGGATGTATTAAAATCACTCCAAATAGCTAGCATCCTGATCTAAGCGATATAGCACCATCAGCTTTACAAAGGCAAGATGCAGTAGTGAGAGAATACAGACAAAATAATGAGCAACTCATTCCTATCGATAGTGCATGATGACTTTTCTCATTTACCAGCTGGAAAATTCAAATCCATGAAGCCTCCATTGGCACTTGTACAACATCTGCCCAACAACTATAACATCGATTCCCAATGGAAAGCTAAGTGGGCCGCTGAATGCCCAGACCTAGGAAAGTATATAAATGACCCCACAAAAAAAGGGGCAGCCTTTGAACTAGCATGTCAGCAATGGACAATCCTGAATAGGATTCTCACCTCACATGGTGTCTGCTGGGACTGTCTGTATAAATGGGGCACAGTATCCTTCCCTCAGTGGAACTGTGGGGTCCCATGTCAAACTGTACATCACATTGTTCAATCACACGGCGATTAATATTTATTTGTGTTTATATATAAGGTGTACATATGTATGCATACACACACACACACACACACACACACAAAGAAAATCTGCAAAATTATTCTAAAAATTTGAGTCCCTGGTATATTCATTTGTAAAAAGGTATACTAAAACACTGATCTCCAGGACAAAAAAGTTTTATTAAAATACTAAGTTTTCACTAGCAATTGCTAACGTTTGACAATGCTAGTGGAGATCAGTGTTTTATATACCACAGTGGTATTTGAACATAGACTTTTTAACATTTATATTTTATTGTGATTTATTAATCTAGGTCAGGAGTAGGCAACCTTGGCTCTTTTATGACTCGTGGATTTCAACTCTCAGGAATTCTGGGAGTTGAACTCCACGAGTCATAAAAGAGCCAAGGTTGCCTACCCCTGGTATAGGTGTAATGTTAATATATATTTCTAATCCATGTATGCTATGCTATATGCTAAATAAATAAATAATAAATTTTCAGTGTAAATTGAATTAAGCCTCGCATTGGGAGAAGAAAAACAAACACAAGAAAATGTGTTTTTCCATCTGTCTATTAAGATGCCCTCCACCCCCCATTTTCCCGCGTGCATCTCATTGGCTTAGCTCACCTGAAGAGTGTATTCTTTGGGGGTCAGGATGTAGGGTCTGCCATCAAGATGAAAGGTGACACTGGGCATCTCAGATAATTTCTGGCAATCTATTATGTACTGGGAGAAGGAAAGGGAGATTGGCATGAAGAAAAAGAAAAGGTTTGATATCACTCTCACAAAACTGCTGGTTTTTTTTTTTTTTTCCTCTCTCTCCTGGGCCAATTGCTTGCTGATTCCCATCACAAACGCTGCCTGAGACAGGTGGGGAAAAACTGTCATAGTGCAGCCTGAGCTGCTGTTGAACATGACAACCTTAATTTCTTAGTTTTTCTCTTCCCTGTCAAGTCCGGCAAAATGCAGCATGTGACATGATGCCATCGTGCAGTGACTTTGCTGCCGGCAGGAGAAGGAACATCAAAAAGCAAGGCCTTCAGGCCACTGAGCCCACTTCAATGCCCCTTGCAGACCTCAAGGAAATTCTTCTGAAAGGGAATCCTGCGTGGTGTCTTGTCCACAATGAGCGTGTTTGTCGAAATGGGAAGTATACAGCCAGTTTCCAGCAAAAAAGTCATAAATCGCAGTCATGTGACCTTGGGCTGCTGCAAATGCAGGCTGCTTGCCAAGCACCTGAAATGCAATCAAATGACTGTGGAGAGCTGGGCGGCCACCCAAATTTCGAATCTGGGTCAAAAGTATCTTGTACCATCGAAACTATGAACGGTCGCTAAACAACTATTCATAAGACAAGGACTATCTGTATAGAGTCTATTAAATCCTATTTCAACATTTTTTCCCCAGTATTTTTTTCTATGTCTGCAATCATAAACCTCCTCCATCATTTCATCTTGAAGAGTGCAAAGATTTAGCTTTGCAAACCTTGTATTCAAGCTTGAGTACTGAAAATAGAGACAAGCAATACTATATTGATGGTATTGGAGCTTCATGGAGGAGGGGAAGGAAGACCCATGCAGGTGGACCTTGGTACTCAACTGCTTTGAAACTCATCAACTTGGACGATTGAATTGGACAATCACTTAATTATGAGCCAGCAGTGTGTGATAGCAGCCAAAAAAACTAATACAATCCTTGGTTGTATGAACAGAGGCATAGAATCAAAATCACCTGAAGTATTAGTACCGCTTTATGAAACCTTAGGAAGGCCACACCTGGAATACTACATCCAGTTTTGATCACCACATTACAAAAAAGATGTTGAGACTTTGGAAAAAGTGCAGAGAACTAAGATGATTGAAGGCCTGGAGATTAAAACATATGAAGAACGGTTGTAGGATTTGAGTATGGCCAGTCTAGAGAAAAGAAGGACTAGGGAGGACATGATAGCAGTATTCCAGTATTTGAGGGGCTGCCACAAAGAGGAGGGGGTCAACTTATTTTCCAAAGCGCCTGAAGGCAAGACAAGAAACAATGGATGGAGAGAAACAACCTGGAATTAAGGAGAAACTTCCTAACAGTGAGGACAATTAACCAGTGGAACAGCTTGCCTTCAGAAGTTGTGGGTGCTTCATCACTGGAAGTTTTTAAGAAGAGACCGGATAGCCATTTGTCTAAAATGCTATAGGGCAGTGATGGCAAACCTTTTAGAGACCGAGTGCCCAAAATCTGCCTCTGCCCCCACAACAACCCTCCTGCCTGCCCCGCTGCGCCCCATTCCCCATCCCGCCTGCCCGCAGCGCCACTCACTGCCTCCAGGGCCCACCACAGATCGCCCAGGCAGCCCAGCAGCGCTATGGCGATCAGCCCTGTGCCCGTGCCCTGCAGCATCAACTGTGCATGATGGTGTGTGAGGGCAGAGTCTTGTCTACACTGCCTGGCTGCCATGTTCTTGGCTGTGCTGCTCCGTGTGGGCAACGCTCGAGGGCGACTCTCCTTCAGGAAGGCTGCTGGAGAGGAGGGGGTCACGGGAGGAGGCAAGGCTGGGGCAACGGCAGAGAGGACTCCGAGTGCAGCCTCTGGACCCATGCCATAGGTTCGCCACCAGTGGTATAGGGTCTCCTGTTTGAGCAGGGGCTTGCACTAGAAGACCTCCAAGGTCCAGCTCTGTTCTGAATTGAATTGAATTAAAATTGTACTCAAAGTATTTTGACGGAAAAATTTTGTCCTAGTACTCATTGTTTGTTTGATACTCAATGCACAAACTAGAACTTGTGAGTAACAGCTGCCTTGTGACCCACTGCATTATTCCTTATGGGAAAATTTTATTTGATACTCATTGTTTTTGGTACTCCCAGAACCAATTAATGATGAGTACCAAGGTACTACTGTAGAAGGAAAGAGACAGTGAATACATTCACACATCCCCACACGATTCCTAACAGCACCACTTTAAGGAGTAGTATTTGACTAATAAATATACACAGATGTATTTGCAGATCCATTAAGTTTGAATAAAAGCTGAGTTTGGTCTCAGCCCTGAAAATGGAGCTTGCTGTGATTGTTCTGTTCTGTGTCATGTTTCTAGATTGTTCTGGAATGAGGAGGAATGTCAGTCTGCCATTGGCAGGTCAGCTGCAAAGCAAAAATGCAAAAGTCTGCAATGGGCAAATGTGCTACTCTTGGGCCTCAGTGGGGGAGCTTTCCATCCATCTGACTTTCAATTTTTAAATATTCTTTTAATGAAATATATATCAGGGGCAGACATACTGCCAAGCAAAACACCTGCCTCTAGAACCATGTTTCTCAATCATGTCAACTTTAAGATGGGTGAACTTCATCTCCCAGAATTCCCCAGCCACCATGCTGGCTGAGGAATTCTGGGAGCTGAAGTCCACACAACATACAGTTGCCCATGCTGAGAAACACTGCTAGCATCATCATTATTTCCAAGAAACCTTTTGGGCAATAGTTGGGGCATCATTTGCCAGCATGCTGTTCCAAAATGAGTTGGGAAATAAGGTTTTGGATCTCTAAAAAAGGGTGGCCAGAGCGAAGCCCTCTGCAATATGCCATTTAGGGAATATACAAGATGCAGCAACTATTTTGAGACATTGTCCATAGGTACTTATTGGTCCCCAAAAGCTTCCTACGGTAATAAAATAATGAAATCAAGGCTAGGGTTATCAGATCTCGGTTGCAAACATTTGAAAGACCACCAGATGACAGCAAAGTGTTGGTGATTAGGACGCTCACTTGCTGCTGTCTAGTGGTCATCTGGGATTTTGCAGCCCAGATGTGGTTGTTCTAGGAACATCTCTTCCTTACCTGTCCGCCAAAAGCACGTTGAGCACCAATAGCTTCGTTCAGAATCTTTATGTCTGCGCTTGGCCCCGTAATGAGAGAGGTCCCAGTGTCCACAATGCCTTGGCAACCGTCCTTGCAGATGGTGGATGAATTGTTTTTTTCAAGCAGGTTCCATGGCCAACATGCCTTCTCCTTGGTTTGTTTCTCTATGGTTATCCTAAACAGAGTTTGGGAAAGGACAGGCATTTGAAATTTGAAACTTGATTAAGATTGGGGGAGAAGGCTCAGTGGGAGACAAGAAAAAGTATCAGAACATTAGAGGCTACACAATTTGGAGAGTTTGCACTCAGCAATTTCTTCCAGACTAAGTTCCAGTTCTCTTGTCATAGCAGAGGAAATGGAGGGACCGAATCTGTACAGATAATCTTTGACTTACAGCCTCAATTGGGATTTTAGTAGTTATGTGAATTGCACTTCATTTTACAGCCTTTTTGCTACGGTCGTTAAGCAAATCACTATGGTTGTTAAGCAATATTGAGTTTGTTGAAAGCCCTCTGAAAAGGTCACATATATGAGCCAGCAGTTGCTGGCAGCTGCCAAAAAAACCAACACAGTTCTAGGCTGCATTAACAGAGAGATAGAATCAGTGGTGGGATTCAAATATGTGAACAACCAGTTCTCTGTGTGGATGCTGCTTCCAGAAGTCCATTCTGGGCCTGGGCAAAAAAAAATTAGCTACCAATTCTGCCAAACTGGTGCGAATTGGTTGAATCCGACCACTGGATAAAATCAAGATCATGTGAAATGTTAATACCACTTTTTTAACGCCTTGGTAAGGCTACACTTGGAATATGGCATCCAGTTTTGATCACCACGATGTAAAAAAAAATGTTGAGAGTCTAGAAGAAGAGCAACAAAGATGATCAGGGGATTGGAGTCCAAAACTTATTAGGAACGGTTGCTGGAATTTGGTATGTCTAGTTTAATGAAGAGAAAGACTAAGGGGGACATGATAGCAGTGTTCCAATATCTCAGGGGCTGCCAAAAAGAAGAGGGAGTCAAGCTATTCTCCAGAGCACCTAAGAGGCAGGACAAGAAGCAATGGGTGGAAACTAACCAAAGAGAGAAGCAACTTAGAACTAAGGAGAAATTTCCTGACAGTGAGAACAATTAACCAGTGGAACAACTTACCTCCAGAAGTTGTGAATGCTTCAACACTGGAAGTTTTTAAGAAGAGATTGGATAGCCATTTGTCCGAAATGATATAGGGTTTCCTGCCTGAGCAGGGGGTTGGACTAGAAGACTTCCAAGGTCCCTTCCAACTCTGTTATTCTATTCTATTCTATTCTATTCTATTCTATTCTATTCTATTCTATTCTATTCCATTTCATTCCATTATATTCTATATCATATGATTCCAGGATGCTACAACCTTTGTAAATACATGATGGTTGCAAAGTGCCCTTAGTTTGATCATGCAAATCCAGAGACACTGCAACAGTTGTAATTGTGAGGACCAGTTGCACATTATCTTTTTCAGTGTCATTATAACCTTGAATGGTTGTTAAATGAATGGTCATAGTCCTTGGAGTATCTGTATCTGGACTGTGTCACTTTTGGAGTCTGCTGGGAACCTTGTCTGACTATCTGCTGTTTTATTCCAAAACCAACCTCTATTTTCATCCTGCATAGGTCAGTGTGCTAGGGAAAAGGATGTAGCCTCATCTTCTTGTTGATGTGATAAATTTTCATGCCCTGGAATCATATCGGATTAGCCCTCAGCTAAATCCAAATGTAAATTGGCCACATTATCTGCAGTTCATAGAATCAAAGGAGCTTTTAAAGCATAGAGCTGGGTCATTGCAAACTGACCTTTTTTAAAATTTAAAATGTGATTGTTCAAATTAAGCGATTAGCATAAATATGGGGTGAGCCAGCCCAGAAAGATCAATGGCAGTAACTTCCTTTCATTAGCATCGTTAATATTTGGGGAGAAGGAACAGAGGACAGGACTGGTGGTTGGGGAGACAAAAATAACTCTGCCCAGCACAGGTCAGATGATTGACAACCCTGGCCTCTGTTATAAGGATGACCAAAGCATTTTAGAAGAAAACAGTATATCAGGTGAGGTGTGACAGAGAAAGTGAAAGAGTGTCTGTCTTTTCTACAGATGGGCTATAAAAGAGTCAGTTTGATCCAGCGATTAATGCACCAGGTTAAAAACCAGGAGACTGTGAGTTCTAGTTTCATCTTAGGCAAGCAAACTGGCTGAGTAACGATGCCAGTGACTTTCCCTCTCAGCCCAGCCAACCTCACAGGATTGTTGTTGTGGAGAAAATAGGAGGAGGAAAGAGTATTATGCATGTCTGTTGCTTTGAGTTACTTTTAAAGTAATAAAAGTGGGATGCAAATCTAATAAATAATGGTTTCTACACAGAGTTCTTAATGAATCTCTCATACATCTGCTCCAGGTGAATTAGGGCTTGTGCTAAGGCAGGATGTACAACCCTGGCTAAAATTTTCTCTTTCACCCATCATCTTGACACTTTCACCCAACCTTGATGTCCTTCAGGAAGGTGAAAGGTTACCCAGAATTCTAAGTGGCGGTATTCTAAGCGGTAGTACAGGATTGATGGAATTCAATCCATACATTTGAGGGCGGTTAGGCTGGGAAAGCTGCTCTACCTAGTCTGCCTTTTTCTATGCTTCCGTTATCAAACTGGTGCTTTTGGATTACAATACCCATCTCCGCAGATTGACCAGGCAGTCGACCAGATCTGGTGAGAACACTAGGTTGGGGAAAACTGTGCTTAGTGATCAGAGAACACAGCTGGAGGGACTGCTCGCTCCTTTCTGATACCTTTAAGCTCTTGCAGGAATATCACGTAGGACAAAGGAAAGAAAAAAGAAGAAAATAGCACAATAAAAAGGATCGCAGACCTGAATGTCTTTTTTTAAAATACTACAGCATTGCCCTCTAGTGTTGAGGGGTGTCATTGCAAGCAGCTAAACTCAGCGGGCACCAATGTATTTACAGGTAGTCCTTAAATTACAGCCTTTTGTTTAGCGACTGTTCGAAGTTACAATGGCATTGACAAAAGCGACTTATGACTGGTTCTCATATTTATGACAGTTGCAACATCTCCATAGTCACATGATTAAAATTTGGGCACTTGACAAACAGCATGTATTTATGATGATTGCAGAGTCCTGGGATTCTAGGATTGCCATCTGCAACTTTCCTAGGAAGTTTCTGACAAGCAAAGTCAACGGGGAAAGCCAGATTCACTTAAAAACCATATTTTACTTAACTGCAGTGATTCACTTAACAACCAAATCAGCAAAAAAGGCCATAAAATGGGATGTGACTCACTCAACAGCTGTCTTGCTTAGCAATGGAAATTTTGGCCTCAGTTGTGATCGTAAGTTGAGGACCACCTCTCATTTTCTCCAAGCAGATGTCCTCTGAGGTGTTTAGGTGTGTGCGTTAGTCCACAAAATAATAATTTCTCACATGTGTGGCAATCCAGTAGACACACCTGACTGAGGAATTCTGGGAGTTGAAGTCCACAAGTCATAAAAGGGCCATGTTTGAAGACCCCTGCAGTAGGGGATCTAAAGATGTACTTACTTGTCCATCTTGATCTGCCAGTAGGCTTTGCGAGACACTGGGATGTAATGAAGCTTTCCCACATAGGCGTTGTGGTTGATGCCTCCGAAAATAACTTCACCTCCATTCTCTTGTGGTGAGGTCTCGTTGGTGCTAAGAGAAAGGTTGCAAAAGTTAAAAAAAAAAAGCTGTCTTAAGCCCCAGTGTCATTTACTGCAAGAAAGTTCCCTTTTCCAAGATGGCCAAAGGTCTTGAGATTTTAATGGCTGCAGAAAGGAGTAATTATTATACACGGAGCAGGTTAACTTATCTCAACTCTTTTTCTGATTGTGTGATAAGCTGCACCCAGGATCAATTTTAGGGGTGTCTAGGGGATAGGGGATAGGAATAGAAATCAGGACAATATTGAAACATTTTGGAAAATTAAAAGCCCAATTCAGCAATTTCCTTTCCTGGTTTTTTGTTTGTTTGTTTGTTTACCCGTACTAAGGCTTTACCTCAGGGTGTCAAACTCACAACGTCACGTGACATGTCACAACATATCGTGACTTTTTTTCCATTACCAGCAATGGATATGACTTGTCCGGCCTGTGGTCCGGCAGTTTGACACCTCTGCTTTACGTGCCTATGCTAGTTCTATCATGGCTATCCAGCCACCCACCCCACCTCCAATATTCCAGTCCTCTATTGGGCACTTTAAGCCTGCTGCCTAAGGAATTCTGGGGACCACATCTTAAAGTGACCTTAGTTTGAAAAACACTGCTCTTCTCCATCAATAGTTTCTAGTTAGCACCGTTGTACCTGAGCTGCACAATTCACACAGCCACTAGATGGTGGTAAAGAGGCAATTCTTTACTTGAGCACAGTGAAGAGAAAAAAAAAAAAAATCCAGTGAGAGTGTCCTTTCTTTCTCCACAAAGTCAATTGTCCCATTAGCTGAAGAGAGGGAAGGGAAAAATTAATTCTACCTCGCTGCATTCTTTGACAGTTCCAAAGGAAATTGCCTTCCAGCTTAAAAAATAAAGTTTAAAAACAAGCAAAAAAGTACTAACTATTTGATCAAATTATTTAATCAAAGTAACCTTTAGCAAAGGTTGGTAGCATGCTTAATTTTGCCACCAGAAATCAGAGAAGTAACAGGAGTTCACAAAGATTAGTCCCTGTCTTGAACACTCTTTCTTCCATAAAAAACAGAGGAATATCCTCCATAGCTATTGTCAGAAGAATAATTTGGGGTTTCAAATGGAGCTGGGGTTGTGCAAGAATAAATAAAAATGAAATCCAAAGAGTTGTGAGGAAAGGAAAAATATTTATTCCCCAAAGCAAAACGTTTGCCTTTAGGGGCAGCTGCAGAGAAAATGGGTACAGAGACATTGTTTTATAGGGGAGCTTGTCCTGGGTGTGGAAGTGTGTGCGTGCTGATTCTAGGGTAACTCTTGAGGGGTGTGGGCATGTGTGGGTGCTGACCCCAGAGAAGGGGTTGACTAAATCAAATGATGTGGGTTGGATCTCTTTGTTTGAACCTGAGCATTATAATTATGTTTACATTGTGTTAATAGAGTTTTGTGTGTTTGCTTGTATGTGTTTACAAAGTGAAATAAGTGTTTAATTCTTATATTTGCCTAAGTTTAAAGAATTTTGGAGGCTATAAATCAGTAACTTTGTGGAGATCTGAGTCAGTTAATGTATATTCCCTATGCAATATTTCTAACGCATTATACTAGCATTTATAAATTATTCCCACGCTATTCAGGACAACATTATTGATTCTTATTTGATAGATTTCAAAATTAAGTCCAGATGTTGCACATAGCCCTGAATCAATACCATCATTTGCTTGCATAACAAGCCAAAACAGGTGCCTGTTGAACTGGCATTGCTCCTATTTCTGAGAAAGCTTGGTTTTGTTGTACTACAAGGGAAGTTTGTTTTCTTTCTTTATTTCCAATTTTTACCTTACTCTTTTTTCACATCATAAACTTCAAATTCTAGAGCAGTGTTTTTTAATCTTGGCAACTTTAAGATGTGTGGACTTCAACTCCCAGAATTGAACCTTTAGCTACTTTAAAATGTGTGGACTTTGAGTCCCAGAATTCCCCAGTGAGCATGCTGACTCAGGAATTCTGGGAGTTGAAGTCCACAATTCATAAAAGAGCCAAGGTTGCCTACCCCTGGCCTGGGATGCTGCAACTATTATAAATACATGCCAGTTGCCGCAATGGTTATAAATGGAAGGACTGGCAGTAAGTTGCTTTTCTCGGTGCTATTGTAATTTTGAAAGGTTGCTAAATGAATGGTGGAAAGTCTACCTGTAATCAAAAAGATTACTCTCTGTTCTGCCGGAAGAGTCAAAAGGTCTCCAGGATCTCAAAACTGCATTGCCCAAACAACAGGTAATAAAATGGGGAGAGCTTTGACTGTAGTGGCAGCAGTTTTTGATCCCTGTCCCTGGACCCACCGCCAGGGAGATGGAGCAGGGAGGAAATCAACCTGATGGGCCAGTTGGAGAGAGAGAGGACTCAGCCCAAGAGACATGAGGAGCAGTCCTCCAGAGCAGATGGCTGAGAGAGTGGCTGCTGGAACAATATTTTCTTGCTTGGACTACAATTCCCACTATAGGTAGCCCTTAACTTATGACCAGTTGCTTAGCGACTATTCAAAGTTATATGAGAGATTTCCCTCCCCCCTCCCCAAAAAAGATACCCTTTTCAATCATGGAAACTGTCCTATCTGTAAACAAATCACTAGTCTACAAGGACAGATTACCTATCTAGGGTCTGTAATCTCTGCTCTTCTGGCAGAAATTAGGTGTCCAGTTCAGCCCTTCTACTCCACTGAGCCTCCAAGCTATCAGCCCCCTCTACCACAAAGATCCTGCAGGAGAAGGGCAGTGTGGAGAACTGTGGGATCTGGCAGGGTGAGAGCTGTGAATCATAAACACAAAGCTTTTGCTGTGTCCCTGCACAACAAATACAGTGCCTTTGCTGACTTAATAGGGACATTAAGGAGACAGGTAAAGGTATTTGTGATGACAACTCAAATAATCAGGGGATCTTGATTTTGACAGGGAGAAGTGTGAATCAGGTATTACACATCAGGCATGCAAGAACAGAAAGGCACCCAAAAAGAGAAGCCACCTTCTGGTTGGTGATTCAATTATAAGAGATGTAAATTTAGGAAAGGACACAGAGGTTTTGAATGAGATCAGGTGTCTTCCAGGTGCTACTGCCAGTAGGGACAAGAAGCGTATTTGTAAAATAATCAAGAATGCCAGCAAGGACTGTGATGTGGAGGCTATTGTACATCTTGGCACTAATAATCTGTCCCAAAAAGATGTACTCACTGTGCAGAATGACTTCCAGAGCCTCGGGCAGGAACTTAGCAGAATAGGCTGTAGGCTTATTTTTTCAGAGGTCTTACCAGTGTATAAGGACCAAAATGGAAAAGGCCAGCATATAGCACAATTCAATATGTGGCTAAAGGAGTGGTGTAAAGGAGAAGGTTTTGGATATATTAGTCACGATGTCAGTAGCGGGTCCCATGAAAAAAAATGTACAAAAGAGATGGTTTGCATCCATCAAAGAAAGGGACTGAGTTACTTGGCTATAAATTCACAGATTTTCTGGAGGAATATTTAAACTAAACAGTGGGGACAGTGAGCTAACTGATACAGAACATCCTTGTCCCCGGCAATCTAAAAACAATAGGGCTATCAGTGCATGTAACATAGATATGTGTGTGGACAAAAATACCAACCTTGCTGTCAAGCAAAATCAAGCTCTTAATAGTGAGTGCCACACAAAGTGCACTAACCAAATAGGTGGTAAGAGGGGAACTCAGGCATCACACAAGTTATGTAGGAAGTAAACACAGGGTCGGTCATAAAGGACTCAAATGTCTATACACAAATGCACAGAGTATGAACAGCAAACAGGGTGAACTAGAAATTCAGGTTAATGAGGGCAGATATGATATTGTTGCCATAATGGAAACATGGTGGGACGAAACCCACAAATGGAACACACAGCTAGAGGGATTTAAATTATTTAAAAGAAACAGACCAAATAAAAGAGGAGGTGGAGTTGCTCTCTATATAAGAAATAACTACATCTCTACAGAAATAGAGCACAACAATGATGAAAACTGTCCTGAATGCATATGGGTCAATATAAAAAGGGGGGGGGGAACCAACATTGCCATAGGTGTATACTATAGGCCACCCAACCAAACACAGGAAATAGATGAACTTTTTGCTAGTCAGCTAACTAAGGTATGTAGGAAGCAAATCACAATAGTAATAGGGGACTTTAACTACCCTGACATCAACTGGGAGACAAACTCTGCACCAAGTGGAAGATCAAACAGATTCTTGACAAACCTAGCAGAAAACTTTGTCTCCCAAAAAATAGAGAAGGGAACTAGGGGATTAGTCATATTGGATCTAATCCTCACTAACAGAGATGAAATGATAGAAGGTGTTGAAGCCATAGGAACCTTGGGAGGAAGTGATCATGCAATATTGGAATTCAACATTATGCAAGCACAAGCAATAGAACATAGTCAAACTAGAGTCTTGGACTTCAAGAGAGCTAATTTCAATAAACTTAGAGAGGGTTTGGGAAGGATTCCATGGATGAGAATCCTCCAGGGGAAAACAACTCAAGAGGCTTGGGAAATTTTGAAAAGTGAGATAATAAAGGCCCAGTCTAGCACAATACCAACAAAGAGGAAAAATAACAGCTCTCAAAAGAAACCAGCATGGCTGCATAAAGAACTCTCTGATCAATTGAAAGATAAAAAGGATAAGTATAGAAAGTGGAAAGAGGGACACATAACTAAGTCAGAATATCAGCAAATAGCCTGAGCCTGCAAAGACGAAGTGAGGAAAGCTAAGGCTCAAAATGAACTAAGGCTTGCAACCAAAGTCAAAAATAACAAAAAAAGCTTCTTTCAACACGTAAAGAACAAGAAAAAAGTGAAGGAAACGATTGGTCCATTAGTGGGTGAAAGTGGCAAGAAGGTGACAAGTAACAGGGAGAAAGCAGAACTATTTAACTCCTTTTTTGCATCTGTCTTTACACAAAGGGAAAAAACAGACCAATCTATCAAAAATAGTGCCATAAAAAACAAAATAGAAATACAAGTTAAGATAGGCAAGAAAATGGTAAGTGAACACCTGTCCAACCTAGACGAGTTCAAATCACCAGGACCAGATGGATTACACCCCAAGGTTCTTAAGGAACTGGCAGATGTGATCTCAGAACCACTGAACTATATTTTTCAAAGATCCTGGAGCACTGGGGAATTACCAGAGGACTGGAAAAGAGCTGATGTAGTTCCTATCTTCAAAAAAGGGGGGGGGGAAAGGACCCAGGAAATTACAGATCTGTCAGCCTGACCTCAATACCTGAGAAGATTCTGGAAAAGATAATCAAACAACGAATCAGAGAACACCTACAGGCAAACCAAGTCATTACTAAAAGCCAATACGTGTTTGTCAAAAACAGATCATGCCAGACAAATCTTATTGCATTCTTTGACCAAGTGACAAAATTAGTGGACCAGAGGAATGCTGTGGATATAATTTACTTAGACTTCAGCAAGGCATTTGACAAAGTAGATCACAACCTACTACTTGATAAGATAGAAAAATGCAGGTTAGACAGCATCACCACCAGATGGATCCGTAGCTGGCTGAACGACCGTACTCAGCATGTGGTCCGCAATGGAACCGCATCTACATGGAGGGAAGTGTGTAGTGGGGTGCCCTAGGACTCTGTTCTTGGCCCAGTGCTCTTCAATATCTATATCAACGATTTGGATGAGGGGATAGATGGGGAACTCATCAAATTTGCAGACAACACCAAGCTGGCAGAAATAGCCAACACTCCAGAAGACAGGCTTAGGATACAGGAGGATCTGGACAGACTTGAACACTTGGCGCTATCTAACAAAATGAAATTCAATGGTGAAAAAAGTAAGGTTCTACATTTAGGCAAGAAAAACCAAATGCACAGGTATAGTATAGGGGGTACCTTGCTCAATAGTAGTAACTGTGAGAGGGATCTCGGAGTCCTAGTGGACAATCATTTAAATATGAGCCAGCACTGTGCTGCAACTGCCAAAAAAGCCAACACAGTGCTAGGCTGCATTAACAGAGGGATAGAATCAAGATCACGTGAAGTATTAATACCACTTTACAATGCCTTGGTAAGGCCACACTTGGAATACTGTATCCAGTTTTGGTCATCACAATGTAAAAAAGATGTTGAGACTCTAGAACAGTGGTTCTCAACCTTTTTAATCCTGCGACCCCCAACCGGTCGTAAGTCGAGGACTACTCAACCAGTCGTAAGTTGAGGACTACTCAACTGGTGCAGCACCGTTTGCAGAATGGGACTTTTGGCAGGCTCAGCAGGGCAGAGACAGCCTGGACAATTCCTATTGGCTTTTGAAAGCCAATAGAATTAGACTCTATTCAAGAGAGTCTATTCTATTGGCTTTCAAAAGCCAATAGAATAAAAGGGAGTAGCACAGCTAAGGAAAAGGGGAAAAAAATAGCGGACTGCATTGTTTGGCAACCCCCGTGAAATGGTCGTTCGACCCCAAATGGGGTCCCGACCCACAGGTTGAGAACCACTGCTCTAGAAAGAGTACAGAGAAGAGCAACAAAGATGATTAGGGGACTGGAGGCTAAAACATATAAGGAACGTTGCTGGAATTGGGTATGTCTAGTTTAACGAAGAGAAGGATGAGGGGGGACATGATAGCTGTGTTCCAATATCTCAGGGGCTGCCACAAAGAAGAGGGAGTCAAGCTATTCTCCAAAGCGCCTGAAGGCAGGACAAGAAGCAACGGATGGAAACTAACCAACCTAGAACTAAGGATTCCTGACAGTTAGAACAATTAACCAGTGGAACAACCTGCCTCCAGAAGCGGTGAATGCTCCCACACTGGAAATTTTTAAGAAGAAACTGGACAGCCAATTGTCCAAAATGGTATAGGGTTTCCTGCCTGAGCAGGGGGTTGGACTAAATGACCTCCAAGGTCCCTTCCAACTTTATCATTACTATTATTATTATTATTATTATTTATTATTATTATTATTACTACTACAACCTGGCTCTGAAGTTCCAATGGCTGAGCCCCCCCCCCCCAAGTCACATGGCCGTACATTAGGTGCTCAACAACTGGCTAGCATTTTTGGCCACTTGCAACATCCTGCATTTTATGACATTTTTGCTGAAAACCGGCTTTTGGTTTTCTGCAAAAAATGGCCCATAATGAACAATGGGTTCGCTTTATAACTGATATGTTCGCTTTATGACCACAGCATTTGCTTTACCACCACCACATTCGCTTAATGACCACTGCAAAAAAAGATCATTAAAAACGGGCCTGTTGACATGATGGCCTGTTTTACAACATTATGACTTACGATTGTAATGGGCAGGATCCATTATTGTCATAAGCTGAAGACTACCTGATAATTGTGTACTGTAAGATGTTTTGAAATCTTGAATTGCTCTTGGTGAGTCATTTGGAAGTAGACTATTAAATCAATTACAAAACAAACTCTATCCTCCCGGATAGTTGTGATAGGTGGTGTATTCCCACAATCTGGAAGGCACTAAGTCAGAAGCTTGATCTTTATCTTTATGCAGGAAGGAAGGAGGGAAGGGAGGGAGGGGGAGGGAAGGGAGACAGGAGAGGAAGGGGAGAGGAGAGTAAGGTGTGAGGGAAGGAAAGAAGGAAAGAAGGGAAGAAGGGAAGAAGGAAAGAAGTAAGATGGGAGGGGGAGAAGGGAGGGAAGGGGAGAGGAGGGGAAGGTGGGAGGGAGGGAGGGAAGGAACGAAGGAAGGAAGATGGGAGGGGGGAGGGAGAGGAAGAGGGAGACAGAACCAGTTCTGAGCTACTAGTTTGATGTGACTTTAAATCTATCTTTTCAATCAATCATTTTACACCCTACTGAACTAAGGCTGATATTGTTCAGAAAAAGCAGAGAATGTTTCCTGTAGCACAAGACTATATAGGTTGGATGCCAATTGCTGAGGATAAAGAAGGGACACTCCCCCTCCCCAACTTTCATAAAAAATGAATCCCAGGGGATGCGGCTTGGGAAATCTTCTGCTTTGGAACAGTGAGGAGTGAGGAGGTGATGTCGATAGCAGAGAGATGATGTCAATAGCAGAGAGGTCCATACTTGCAAAGATGGAATGAGAAGACATTGTTTTTCAGAAGTTTCGCCTTCATCATGTTATCAAAGGGTGGGGTGATGTTGTTTACTGAGATGGAGGGATAACCCAGTCCCATGATACCGTCAAATTTGGCAGCCACAAAAACCAAGCCTGGCAAATCGGTAGCCTCAGCAAAAGTCTGGTTCTTAACGGTGACGTTGCCAATCTGAAGAGAAAGAAAATACACAGCATTTTTTCTTCTGTTTCAGCTATCAGTGGGTGAATATGAGGTATGGACAAGTGCAATGAAAACCACCTGATTTTTTATGTGCATCATATGATCAGTTAATCCAGTTATATGATTTATCAAAGTTTCCTGCAATGTATACAGTATAAAAATGGGCAAAGTCTCAATCAAGCCTTCATAACCACCATCTTTGACTCTGGTAGACATCCTAACCTTTTTTTACATACTGATAATTTTATTAGTATTTAACTACCACCAATCTGATCCTTCACTGATCAGGAGTTATGGTTTTCAGTGTTTTAAAAAATGAGTAGGGATATCCATACAGGGGTAGTCAAAAAGTCAAGATGGCAGAGATGACGTGAGATTGAAAAATAGGTGGTGCTATTGTGGCTGCCATCTTGATTTTTTGACCACACCTTCTTATGGTTCCCCCAAAATGATGCCAGAGTCCACATTTTGGCCAAACACCAGTGTCTCGCAATAGCTGATATCTTAAGGATGTGTGAATCTGTAGCCTGATGATTTTTATTTAGAGTAATGAAAAAACCTGCAAACATTTCAAAGTTGCTTCTTTATCCTGATCACTAGCTTCATACACCTTCAATAAAAGTTAAAGGTTGTCTAGGAACCTAGGAATTGAGGAGAAACCACTTCTTCTATTGTAAATCACATATTACAGACGTGAGACTTGGTGCAGGAAAGAGAATATAAGATAAATGGTGTTTATCTTATATTTTTCAGAAGAAAACTGAATTTTCTCTTGAGGAAAAGAAAAATATGCTCTTGTATTTTCTTCTTAACCCCTCCTCTCCAACATTAAGCCAACTTCTTTCTGAGAACCAGATTCTGTCAACTTCCTGTACTCACCCTGAGAACATCCTGGCTTACGAATCCCTTAAGGCTACCGCTTCCATAATGAATTTCAAATTTGCTTTTATCGGCCTTGTGGGTGCAGGAAAACAGCGAATGGTAATGTTTGTGTACCCCTGATGGGAAAAAAAACCCAAACAGTTAATTGTGTACAGAGAACAGATTGGGCCAGGACTTCCCTTCCCTCCCTGTTAAACCTACTTTATGGCTTACACCACTGATATTTCCCAACATACAATGTATAATATATTGACAAAACATAAGAGTGCAGATAGTTGTGGTATGGTCACAATTTTTTTTCAAAAAATAACCCAATCAACTTAAATGCAAAAGATTTTATTTGCACAGAACTCTCCCCTAACTGGGTTATTTTTTGAAAATAAAATTGTGACCACACCACAACTATCTGTAGTACTCAACTGGGCAAACAGTTATATAATGAGGTGGATAGTATGCTAACTCCTATCAACTTGAGGGTCCCAAAATTATACATTCAGTATAATTACATTTTTTCATAGAGATCTTGATGAAGGTTGTAATTGTTATAGGCCACAACCAGGCCAACCATACCTAACCTTGCCTGTCCTACCAGGGAGAACCCTGATGGGCGAAATGAAGCCCACACCGTGACACTAGTTTCCTTCCTTGGGTCTCAGTTTTGACACAAGATCAGGTCCATCCATGATCAAATCAAACCATGGATGGTTCTGGTCTGATTTTAAGCTGACCTATCTTTCAAAGCATTCCACTCCAAATCTTCCCTGGTGTTGGGGTCATACATTACTTTGGCTTCTTTAATTTAATGTTGCATGTGAACGAAGCCAAAGTTTCCCATGATGAAACTGCTCTCTTATCACTAAGTTGACAATTGGGGAGAATTTGTCTGACCAAGTAACCCTTCTATTTCTCCAAGAGAGGAATGGATTACTGCAACAATGGTTATATCTCTAATTTTCTCTACCACTGGTTCATTCTACTCTCATGTCAGTTTGTGATTTTAAGAAAAGCCTGCGTAACATTTTGGATGCATTAGCGTGCACGTTTCTCTTGAGCAACCCCTCCCCATGCATCTCCACTCTATTCTCAAGAATCAGTTGAGGGTGTTATGTCTTACAGCATGCCAAATGTATCAGGCAACATTTGGAAGAAGGCACCCACAGGTTAGATGAGCCAGTATCAAAGACAACGTTGAAGCATTGTTTAGGGGTTCCAAGACAGATTTGCCCATAGTATTGTGCCTGGGGTATAGCAAGAAAAGAAAAAAGGTCAGCATTTTTGTAATGACTTAAATCAACATCTTTATCTATTTGTTTACCATTTTTAAATAGAGATGATCAATATGGTGTTGAAACAGGATTGGGGGATCCAAGTTCAGATCCTTGTTTGGTGACTTTGGAGTAGACATTCTCTCTGAGCCCAGCCTATCTCACAGGGTTGTTCCCTCTCCCACCATTGCCATGGAGGCCACCTTGATTGTCTAATGTAGCATCATTCAACCTCGGCAACTTCCAGATGTGTGGAGTTTAACTGGATGAAGTCTGTATGTGCTAGTTGAGGCATCCTGGGAGTTGAAGTCCACACATCTTAAAATTGTCAAGGATGAGAAACAAATAAAAATGTAATTGGAAATTAAGTAAATACACCGATAACAAACTCATTCTGAGTACCAATCTTTTTGTATCCAACATGGCACTTGCCAAAGGCAAAAGAGAGATATATCACCAGACACAGAAAAACTGACATTTGCAAAAGAATTCAAGTACTTCAGAAACATTAATCTTAAAGAAGAGGAAAAGGAGAAGAACAGCAAATGAGGAACAAGCACGCTCAGTAATTACACGACAAGGTCAACTAAAAAAAAAATCCATCAGCATGAGGAGGAGGAAAAAGAGAAATAAATACAGAATTCTTGAAGAGGACAGAGCAGAGCCTACTCTCCCGTACTGCAACATTTAATTGACAGATTTTCAGATGTTGGTCTTTTGTTTTTCAGGTGGCATCCAAAATGGGAATTAAAGGTTTTTATTTGAGTTTGCTTGATTGAGAGGACGGAATATTAAGGTTATATAGAAGTTATCTGGAACCAAGGATTTACCCTCTTTCTAACAATAGACATCCTTGAATCCAGACTCATTATAGCAGGAGAAGTGGTTTCCTTGGAGGGAATGTATGCCAAGTATATTCTTCCATTAAAGTCACCTAAGGTCACTCCGACTACCCAGCTAAAGAGAAAAGACACCTAAATTCAGCAACAGTGATACAGGAAGATGCTGGAGATGATTGATCACCTTAACCACAACAGGAAAGGCATCATTTTAAGCTGTGTTCGAGAAGGCAATGGTCAGCCATTTCTGCATTTTAATAGGAAAAACCACATGGATAAATAAGATAAAGTGACTCAAGACATAATGTCTGGATGATGAACACCCCAGGTCAAATTATACCTGACATACTAGTGGGGATGTTTCTGAGCATTAATTATGTTTACAATGGGGTTAGATTAGAAGTGGCCTTCCAGATGTTTAGTTGCTGATGTTGTCATGCAGGAAAAAAAAAATCTGAAACTGCAAAGAAGAATTGACAGTGGGAACACGGCATGCAAGAATCATGAAAACGGAATAGCTTAATACAGTGATATGAAATTAATTGCATATAAATAACATATTAGGCATCAGTAAATTGAAATGGATTGAAGAACCAGAAGATCATACTATTAACTATTCAGGACATGAAAAGCAAGGAAGGAATGCCTTTGCTTTCATAAGAAGGAATAGTCCTTAAATTACAACTGAAGAGAGGGCCTGACTTTTGGAATCTCAAATCTGGATTAGAAGTACCTGTCAGAGTCTGTCAGAGCGTTGAATGGTCATTAAGTGACTGGTTGTAAGTAGGGGACTACCTGTACTTGGCAACAACATAACCAGTAACCAAATAAATTTAATAGGACATCATGGAGAATGCTTTGATATTATGATTATCTAAGTTCATGCTCCAATCACTGATACAGAAGAAGAAGAAGAAGAAGAAGAAGAAGAAGAAGAAGAAGAAGAAGAAGAAGAAGAAGAAGAAGAAGAAGAAGAAGAAGAAGAAGAAGAAGAAGAAGAAGAAGAAGAAGAAGAAGAAAAGAAGAAGAAGAAGAAGAAGAAGAAGAAGAAGAAGAAGAAGAAGAAGAAGAAGAAGAAGAAGAAGAAGAAGAAGAAGAAAAGTGTAATGGTTCAATTTGAAATTTATAGATAGAACATGCAAGCTAGATGTGCTAATTGTGGTTGGAAGCTGCAGATATAGGAAAGAAACACAGCTGGTTTGTATAGTCTAGGAAACAGAAATTAAGCAGGAAATTGACTTATCTCTGTCTGCCAATCCTATAATGTCTTCATTGCTAGCACAGTCTTCATACAACCAATATTGTGCAAATTCCAAATAAAATACAATAGAAAAGCAAAGCCATCCAGTTTCCATAATATAATCTTGAACATATCCCTACCCTTTAAGGAGAACATTTGAAATCTGAACCTCATTGATCAAGTATCTAGAGAAACTAGTGGAATAAACTTAAAGAGATTGTTAGGGATTGTGTAACAAGAGATGGCCAAAGATGAAGAAACAGAAGAAAACAAGCTGGATTTCAGAACAAAGAGTGCAATTTACCAGAAGCAAAGAGAAGCAAAGCCAAGAAAGACAAATATCTTAGGAAGAAACTTAACCAAGATTTTCAGAGAACTGCTAAAGAGACAAGACATAGTATTTGTCATTATATCTGCAAAGACACTGAAGACAGAAACTGATACAAAAACCCAAGGAAAGTCTTTCAAAATATTTCCAAACTCAAAAGGAGGTTTAAATTAACATGGTAAAAAAAGTCAATGTACATATAGCAATTGATTCAAAGAAGATCAAAGAAAGATGGGACCAATTTAGGGACCTCGACAATGAAGAAATTCTTCAAGATATTTTCAAGACTCTCTAGGTCTAAAATATGAAGTTAAATCAACACTTTGAATATTATCAAGTGGGAAGGCTAAAAGAATTGATAGAATCTCCACATAAAAGCAGCAAGCTACAGGAGAAGAATCCGTAAAAGTTCTAACTAAATGATGCCAGCAAATCTGGAGAAAGATAAAATGGCAAAGAGACTGGAAAAGATTAATCTATTACCAATATCAGAGAAAGGAGATTTAACAGGGCATGCAAAGTATTGTACGGTATCCTTGATTACACATATTAGCAAAATAATATTTAGAATCATCCAGATTATTCAGATTAGAGCCCTGCATAGACATTAGTCTTGCTTTACAAAAATCCAAGGACCAAGAAAGATTATTGGTGATGCTCACTAGAAAACTGAGAAAGCCAAAGGATTTTAAAAAAAAGTTAGTATGTGCTTAATTGATTATAAAAAGACCTTTTGATTAGGTCAGGGGTAGGCAATCTTGGCTGTTTTATGACTCATGGACTTCAACTCCCAGAATTCCTGAGTCCGCGAGTCATAAAAAAGCCAAAGTTGCCTACCCCTGGATTAGGTCAACCATGTCCAGCTGTGTATTTCCTGAGAAAACCAAAAATCCAAGAACAATTTACTGCCCTCCAGCAAAATTTATATACAGGACTGGAAGCCACAGTCTGTACAGAACACAGCAAAAGGAACTGGACCTATGGTGAATATATTTTGAGCGAAGCTGGCTTGGAAGAACATGAGTGCATACAGATAATCCTTGACTTACGACCACAATTGAGCCCAACATTTCTGTTGCTGAAACATTTATTAAGTGAGCTTTGCCCCATTTTGCAACCTTTCTTGCCACAGTTGTTAAGTGAATCACTGCAGTTGGTAAGTTAGTAACACGGTTGTTAAATGAATCTGGATTCCCCATTGACTTTGCTTGTCAGAAAGTCACAAAAGATGATCATGTGATCGTGGGACACAGCAACTGTCATAAATATGAGTCAGTTGCTAAGCATCTGAATTTTGATCATGTGACCCTGGGGATGCTGGAACAATCGTAAGTATGAAAAATGGTTATAAGTCACTTTTTAAAGTGATATTATAATTTCAAACTCAAATACTTTGGCCACCTAATGAGAAGGAAGAAGTCACTGGAGAAGGGCCTAATGCTGGGAAAGATTGAGGGCAATAGAAGAAAGGGACGACAGAGAATGAGATGGCTGGATGGAGTCACTGAAGCAGTAGGTGTGAACTTAAATGGATTCCAGAAAATGGTAGAGGACAGGAAGACCTGGAGGAACATTGTCCATGGGGTCGCGATGGGTCGGACACGACTTCACAACTAACAACAACAAATAATTTCAAGCAGTCACCTAGTAAACAGTTGTAAGTTGTGGACTACCTGTATTTAAAATGAGGAAGAAACATTAATAACTGGGTTATGTTAACAATGGTACCCTTAGGTAAAAGTGGAAAGGATCTAAAAGGTCTAATGATAGAAGTCAATGAATGCAGTGAAAAAAATGGGACTAAACTAAATATAAAAACAGTCAAGCTAATGAATGCCAGTTGTATAATTCACAATGTTGCTGTTGATATGGTGGATGATTTTTGCTTTTCACCATTGAGTTAGCAATAGAAAAGTAACCCTCAAGAAATATTTCACAGGCTAGCATATGTTAGGGTAGCAATGAAGGCTTGGAAAATATATTCATTCTGTATGCAGGGGTGTGTCTATACGTACAAAAATCATAACTGGCAAGGATTTTCTCTGTGACATAGTATGGAAATTAAAGTTGGACTTTGAAGATGTAGGATACAAATATTATTCATTCTTTGGAACTTTGGTATTGGAGAAGATACCTGAAAATACCATAAACAGGAAGAAAACTATCCAAATTTTTCACCCAAGGCACAAATGATTGGGGCTCAAGTTATATTTTGGAAACATTATGCAAAGACCTAGTTCTCATGAGAAGCCTTCCACCAGAAGTGGAAGAAAAAAGACAAAGGGTGACCAGGAGCAAGGAGGATAGTCTCAGTTACAACAGGACTAGGTGCACCATTAGCAGATCTATCTATGTACTGGTTAAGAATGAGGGTTAGGGTTAGGGTTCAGAATGGATACTTTATGGGCAGTAAAGCAATCCAGCCATTGTAAAATATCTCCTCCCTACTGTGGTCCTAGATTTTGAATGCTTAGCAACTGACTCACCTTTGCAACCAAATGTAGCACCCAATGGTCACATGACCATGTTTGCCACATTTTTTGCCGGGGCTCACTTCACTTAAGTGTGGTGATTTGCTTGAAGACCTCCACAGATGATGTCAAAAAAATGGGACTGGTCATGTGGGTGCAATGACTTATGACTGGCTCTACCTGTAAGATGCCTTTGTTTAACTCAGCAACACTTACATTTGGATAATGAGCTGGTTTATACAGTACTTCACACAACATTACTATTTGTTGAAATGTCATCTACTGAAAAATTATAAGAGGCAAGAACAAGCTAAACCATGAACTGTGATTCACTAAACAATAGTGACTGAATTCACACAACACACATAACCAAAATCAAACAAATCACTTTGTGGGTTATCTCTATGGCTTGAACAAAGGCACAGTCCTTGAGACTCTATCCAGTAGCTAAATTTCCATCGCTCATTTATTTGGTGGATTTGTAACTTTTTTTTTCCTCCAGAAGTAGTTTACATAGGGTCTTTCTTCAATTTATCCCACAACAATAGCCCCATAGAGTAAGGGGCTGAAGGGCTATTAACTTTCCATAGTGGAGGATGGGCTTGAATCTCCTCAAACTTATCCAATGATTTGACCCCCAGGTTTCGGCATTTTGGCATCATCATACTTGGCTACAGAGGCCCTTCATTTACCACTGCAAGACTCTGAACTTTAACCATAAGCTTATGCCCTCAGTTAAGAAAACATACATCCATGTAGTTGTGGAGACGCTGGTGGGTGACAGAAGCAGTAGCTGGTGGTTTTCCAGTCCTTAATCCACCTCGCCTTAATACTTCGGCAATGGGAAGCCCTGACTGGCCAAACCGGTTTCGGACAGATGGGAATTTCTGCAAAGGGATCCTGCCAGGGAAAAGAAAGCAGATAGGAGGGGAGTTAAAAGTAATGGAGGATGTAATATCCTTGCTATCAGTCACCACCGTTATAATGAGCCAGTGGGCTTGGTGCTTGACAGAAATCTAGGACAGAAATCAAACATACAGATCCTAGTAGGTTCAGATGACTTCCCAGAGCCCTCAAGATTAGGCACACCCAAAGTTATGGGTTTTTTTTCCACATGGAGGTGGGATTTAAGACACCCCTTGTTTCTTCCTCATTTAAAATTGGATTATTTGCAGTCTCTCTCTCCCCTACCCCAGAAATGCAGTCCGCTGGATGATGAAAGGTGTACAGACCTGGTCGAGGGCATACAATCTACTAACTGAAATTATTTTATTCAGTCAAATGGTCCTATAGGATTTATTGAAAAACCCATAATTAGTCAGATTTACACTATTACAGCTATGAAAAATGAAACAACGTTCTGGTTTGGGATGAAGTAAGTTCAAGCAAGATACGCTTTCTTGTAGTGTATGCTGTTCTGGCAGATGTTAAAGATACAAGAATAATATTTCAAAAGTAAAACAGACAAATCAATCTGTAGAGTTTATTATTTTCTTGGATTGGGATTTTAAATAATTGAATTTGAGTTATAAATTTCTTGTCCATTTGGCATTACTGTGTTCAGAACTCTGTAGGATTAGCTTGGCATTTTTCATCCAACATTCCTCAATCCTCTCTCACCTACCCACATAAGAGAATATTATCCACTAAGGTTGAGAGATAAATCCTTACACATGTAGTAAGAGATTTTTTAATTAACACTGATACTTGGGCATCACCCACCTGTAGGCAGCAACAAGGCTGGGCAGATAAACTAATTATAGCTACCTAGCACCCCTAATCAGTGCCAAGTTAGTCATAGACTGGTGTGCGCCAACACCAGGTTGAAACTGGGGTTGGCACCTTTGAGAAATGACACTGTGGTGTCTTCTCCATAACTTCATGGGAAGAGCCAAAAACTAGCCAATCTCTTATTTTGTATCAGACATATCTGAATTTTAGGGAGGAAGGTGAGACAGAACTAGTGGGTGCAAATGGAGTTATTCTGGAAGAATTGTGTCATGTTATCAACTGGATAGTACTTATCTCTTCAACACACAGGAAAGTGTACTAAACTGGTACCCTCCGCCCTGCTCATATGTGTTACCAAGAACTGGTTGGCAGATCTAGAAAGATACCTCACCATATGTCTACAACACCCAGGAATTGCAGATCTCATAAATAATTGATTCTTATTACGAGGGCAATTCGGAAATAAACCTCTGTTTGGTTATCAATGACAAACACTGGCAGATACAGAACTTTTATTATACACATTAGAAAACTACAACATTACTTTGCAACATAATCACCATTCAAATTGAGGCACTTGTAATAACATCTTAAAAGATTTGAAACTCCTTAGTAGCAGTCGCTCGGCACCAAATCTGGGCTATAGGGCGAGGGGGGGGGGGTGATAAAAAACATCCCAACAGAACTGCTTCAAAAGTTCTTGGGTGCATCTAGTGGTGTGTGGGTGAGCATTATCGTGAACCAACACCACACCAGAAGTGGTGCCATAGAAAATCTCGCCAAATGTGAAGATGCCAAAGGAGAATGGCTAGTGAAGTTCATGGAGCATGATTCGACCATCAATTCAGATGTCTACTGTGAAACGTTATGAAAACTCAGATGAGCCATCCAGAACAAGTGTTGGGGCATGTTGACTTCCAATGGTGTTGATTCACGATAATGCTCGCCCGTACACCGCTAGACGCACCCAAGAACTTTTGTAGCAGTTCCATTGGGATGTTTTTGATCACCCCCCCCATAGCCCAGATTTGGCACCGAGCGATTACTAGTAAGGAATTTCAAAACTTGTAAGATGTTATGACAAGTACCTCAATTTGAAGGGTGATTATGTCGAAAAGTAATGTAATGTTGCAGTTTTCTAATGGGTATAATAAAAGTTCTGTATCTGTGAGTGTCTGTCATTGATAACCAAATGGAGGTTTATTTCTGAATTGCCTTTATATTTTAAAGCAGGAGGGGGAATCTTGAATCAGTGAGTCAGATACATCCCCTGCTTAATGCCATCCAGCTCAGGCAAGTTCATGGTGCTTGTTTTCTAAAAGAGAATCCCCCCCCAAAAAAATAGGTAGAAAGTGCTCCAATTCCAAGAACAAGTCCTTGATGTATGACAACAATTTGGCCTCAGAGTTTCTGTTATTAAACAAGAGTCACACCAGATTTTACAGCCTTTTTTTGTCATAGTTGTTAAGCAAATCACTGCAGTTGTTAAACGAGCTTTGTAGTTGTTATTTGAGTGCAGCTTCCCCCCCCTTGACTTTGCTTGTCAGAAACCAGCTGGGAAAATTGCAAATGGCTGAAACCATCCTAAATACATCCCAGTTGTCAAGCGCCCAAATTTTGATCACACAACCGTAGGAATGCTGTGAAGGTCATAAGTGGGAGAACCAGTCATAAGTTACTTCTTCACTGCCATTGTTGAAACTAAACAAGGATTGCGTGTATTGTTTAGTTCAGGGGTCTTCAAACTTGGCCCTTTTATGACTTGTGGACTTCAACTCCCAGAATTCCTCAGCCAGGCATGCTGGCTGAGGAATTCTGGGAGTTGACGTCTACAAGTCATAAAGGGCCAAATTTGAAGACCTCTGGTTTAGTTGCTGTATCCAAGCAGCACCCCATATCTTCCCTGTTCCCTGAGAGAAAGAGCAGGTGAGTTTCTTTAGCTTCCTCAAATTCCAGGGTTAGTTGTAGGTTGGCTTTACACACTGCACTAAGCTAAAAGATGACTTTTTTGATTTAGTATGTTGTGTGAACTCTGTCATAGTGGCTAAACCATGGATAGAACAACTACTATTTATGCAGTTATAGGCAGGGCTTTTTTTTTCATAGAACGCCCAGAACGGAGTTCTGGCCTTTTTTTTTGGATGGGACCTTGTAGGGTAGGCAAGGCGGGTTGTATGACATATGTGAGTTCCGGCACCTTTTTTTTTTTTTAAGAAAAAAAGCACTGGTTATAGGTATCTTAAGGCCTCCAGCACTACATGAAACTATCAGATCTGATTGCAACTTCCAAAGATCTGACTACAACAACTTTTTGGGGTGGGAAATTCACAGGACAAGTATTGTAAACCCTAACTTTTAAAATTAAACTTAAAAAGTATCTCTTGAATTGAGCACATCTTCATGGATGTGTGTGTGAACTTTTCTTGAGAACAATTCAAAAATGGTTTTGCCTTATTTAGTGATTCCCCCATCTAAATATTAACTTGGTCTGATCTTACTTAGTTTTTTTTCCCCATGGAGCAAAATAGATTTCCCATTCCTTGTCCATAGGTAAATCCACTCTAATGGGTACTCAGTTAATCATTGTTTAAACATATAGCAATAAAGGTAATCTTCAACTTACAAATATTCATATAATAACGATAATAATAATGATAATAATGATAATAATAATAACAACAACAACTGGAGCACCACTTGAACACCATTGGCACTGACAAATTCACCATTGGTCAGTTGCAAAAGGCGGCCTTTCTAGGAACTGCTTCCATTCTATGGCGATATCTGTATTACCATCAAACATCCACATCTGCCTATCCCAGGTCCTGGGTAAGGACTCGATAGGTAGACAAAATGCCAAATCCAGTCTGAACTCTGGCTGACTGTGCAATGATCAATAGTAATAATGTTGGAAGGCACCTTGTAGGTCATCTAGTCCAACCCCCTGCTCAGGCAGGAAACCCTATACCATTTCAGACAAATAGCTGTCCAGTTTCTTCTTAAAAAACTTCCAGTGTTGGAGCATTCACCGCTTCTGGAGGCAGGTTGTTCCACTGATTAACTGTTATGTCAGGAAATTTCTCCTTAGTTCTAGGTTGCTTCTCTCTTTGGTTAGTTTCCATCTGTTGCTTCTTGTCCTGCCTTCAGGTGCTTTGGAAAATAGCTTGGCTGAGATATTGGAACACTGCTATCATGTACCCCCTCGTCCTTCTCTTCATTAAGCTAGTCATACCCAATTCCAGCAACTGTTCCTTATATGTTTTAGCCTCCAGTTCTCTAATCATCTTTGTTGCTCTTCTCTGTATTCTTTCTAGAGTCTCAACATCTTTTTTACATCTTGGTGACCAAAACTGGATGCAGTATTCCAAGTGTGGCCTTACCCAATGGTGGGATTCAAATATGTGAACAACTGGTTCTTTATGTGGATGCCACTTCCGGAAGTCTATTCTGTTCCTGGGCAACAAAAAGTTAGCTACCGATTCTGCTGAACTGGTGCGAACTGGTTGAATCTGACCACTGGCCTTACCAAGGCATTGTAAAGTGCTATTAATACTTCACATGATCTTGATTCTATTCCTCTGTTAATGCAGCCTAGCACTGTGTTGGCTCTTTTAGCAGCTGCAACATACTGCTGGCTCATATTTAAATGATTGTCCACTAGGATTCCGAGATCCCTCTCACAGTTATTACCTCTGAGCAGGATACCCCCTATATTACACCTGTACATTTGGTTTTTCTTGCCTAAATGTAGAACCTTACTTTTTTCACCTTTGAATTTCATAGTGACCGTTTGAAGTTACAGTGACACTGGAAAAAGTGACACCTGGTCCTCGCATCCCTACAAACACAGGATCAAAATTTGAATGCTTGGCAACCTCTTGTCTTGTCCCTCAACTAACAATGAGACTTGATTGATTTGATTATGTGCCATCAATTGGTATCAATCTTAGTGACTACATAGGAAAATCTGTGCTCAACTTGGTCCATCAGGTTTTCCAACAAATAACACCTACCTTACAAGTAATTAATATAATTACATAATAAATTGGTTAATATTTGTGCATCTTTGTTTTCCTCCTGTAACTCAGTGGCCATTAAGAGGGAAAATCATTTTCTACTTCTGTTTTAGTATAATGGTGAGTAGATTTCAAATACTGCGAGTTGGATCTAATGTTTTTGATTAGGTCCCATGTATGAACCAGATGTGGCAGGCAGTTCTATCATGCAAATGAGGACAAGCACATCTGTGCGATAATCATCATAAAAACCAAGCTTTGCTCCTGGTATTCTTCAAATGTCCTTAAGGGGCAGAAATTTCTGGGTTTCTATTATTATTGTTGTTGTTGTTACTATTACTATTATTATTACTATTATTATTATATAGAGAAATGATTGGGTTTGGTTCTTTTTCATTTTAAAGCAGATATTTCTGGATGTATAGTTTCATGCTCATGACAGCATGAAAATTCTGCATAACATTTGCAAATTGCACTGAGATCTCTGGCTAACCCTGATATTCTACCTTCTATCCACCAGAAACACTATGTCAACTAGACTTTGGGTTTCCTATGTATTTGTTTCATTCTAGACAGTTTCCTTGTTTTTATTTAGGTTAAAGAACAAAATATATTTAACCATTCCCCCCCCCCCCCAAGTTGATGCTACAATGGATTTCTGTTAATTGTTACTACTTACAGAGCTTTTTTTTCTAATTGGTCTAAAAAGTGCACAATTTTCACCAGATTCCCCCCCCCCAAAACCCCCTACTAGTATTTCTCTTTTTATTCCCAATCTCCAGTAGAGTAATTTATTGTTGATATCCTAGAGGCTCCAAGCCTGTCCTAAATGGGATAATGAGGCTTTTCAACAACCTCATAATAGCAACACAATGTAAAGATCACATTTATTTACATGCTATTAAAAGTTGCAATACCTCTTTTGAGTCAAGATCAACTCTTGTTTATTTTGCAATCACGCTACTGCAATGTTTTTCATCCTTGGCAATTTTAAACTGTATGTACTTCAATTCCCAGAATTCCTCAGCCTCCATGGTTCACACAACTTATAGCTGCCAAGATTGAGAAACACTGTAGTGTAATGTAATCTTCTTGTCAATAATACAGAAGAAGCCGGCCATGCTTCCAACTTCTTTTCTTTTCAACTTCTTCATCTAAATTATATAGCCATAGGATGTTCTGGAGAAGTCCCATCCAAGTACTGAGCAAGTCCAACCTTGCTTAGCTTTTTGAGTTCAGCTAGGACGGTGTTGGCAGAACTTCTGCTTCTCCAAATATCACTAAGGTATATCTCAACATGCTGGTTAAAGCTGTTGGGAGGTAGAGTCCAACCTCATATGGACAGCCACAGATTCCCATGTTAAGCTATCAGCACCCTTCAAAAGAGAGAAGAGTCCTCACCATAATATTATCAGTCTTTTTGACTGACAACTATTGTTTTAATCTAAGTTTGCACAATTGGGTGATCTCTACATTTATCAAGTTCCAGAATTTCCAGCCAGGATCCCTGTCTGTAGCCCAGCACAAAGAAAAGGAAAAAGTAGAACTAGCACCAGAAGACAAGACAAGGAACAACAGATGGAAACTAATCAAGGAGAGAAGAACCCAGAACTAAGGAGAAACCTCTTAACAGTGAGGACAATTAACCAGTAGAACAGTTTGCCTTCAGGAATTGTGGGTGCTTCATCACTTTTTAAGATTGGACAGCCACTTGTCTGAAATGATATAGGTACTCCTGCTTGAGCGGGGTGGGGGGTGGGGGGTGGGGTGGGGTGGGGGCTGGACCTCCAAGGTCCCTTCCAGCTCTATTGTGATTGATTGAGATTAATTAATTGGGAAGATCAGTACATTAACTTCATAGAGACATCCTTTCTAATCACTAGGCCAATTTTCAAATTACCTCTAGTTAACCCAGATCCCATATTCTGTGTTCATAGTTGGTGGCTTGCACACACTTCTTTCTTGAAATGCTAGGTGTGTGCCCCTATAGCTTGATTGTTCAAATTCTCTGCAATCATATTCTTCTTTTTTGATCAAGGATCCCCACTCCCTCAAGCCACAAGCTTTTAAATCCCCCCCCCAAAACTGATAACCTCCATGAGGATGAGGACTACTGCTCACAGAATTCACAGCTATGCTAGCTAGGAAGTTGGGAATTACTGTACTGGTCCAGTCTAGCTGGAGCATCTGAAACTAAAGCAGGCTATCCTATCTTTTATGAGGATCTAGAATTCCTAGGTACTCCTCTGCAGCCCAGAGTTCAATAATCATCCTGCATTATCTCACCGGATTTGCCCTTCAATCCCGATTGCCAGCAGCACTATGATCCAGATTCTGCCTCCCATCTTTCGTCGGTTCAGTCCTGCAGTTTCCAGCAGGAATTCCTTCTGTGTGTCCTGACTGCACCCGGATTATTTTTCTTGGGGATGAAGAAGTATATCTGCACTGGCTGGGGAGTAGTGTTATTGCCTCGCCCATAAGGCCCAGGAATGTGGGTTGTAGATCCTGACTGGTTAGGACTGCTGGGGTTTACCGCCTCTATTCTATGTAATTATTGGGGTTCATATTTCAACTGGCTAAGAGCACCTGAGCAAAAATTGCTTTGCCAATCTGATTAATGAGCAGTGAACTTTGATAGCCTGGAATCTCATTGGTCGTCAGGTGAGCTCAGCCAGTGGATCTCCTTAATGTTTGGCTAGCACTTGTGGGGGTTCCATGTTTGTGGTGTGCAAAACTTTAGGATTCGGAAACAAAATGATTTTCCTTGAAGATCTTAAACAGGTAGAGCCACTGTGGGTGTAGTAATATCTCTCTTGCCATCAAGATAGAGAGATTAATTTATCAGCAGAAAATATTTTATGAGTCGGAGAAGACTTTTATTTAAAAAATAAATAAAATCAGGTAACTACACTTACATAAATCCAAGATACATAAAGAAGAAAAGAAAAAAAATATATAAAAATACCAAGGAAATCTGCTGCAGTAGGAATAAAGAGACAGGTACTAGACATACAAAAAAATTCTCTCTCTCACTCACCAGACTATAATCTAGCCATTGAGATAAACCATAACATCCATCCAAGTTCGATAAAATTGTGGGTTCTTAGCTCTGATGTCTCCTTAATTTAACTTTGTAATTTTTTTATATTGTAGCAATTGAAGAGGTCTTACTAATCCACCCCTTTTTTTCTGTTGTCCCAGATGTCGCAAACCTTTTGTTCAGGTGAGAATAAAAACTACACTTCATTAAAATGAAGTTACTGCAACAATCTCCAGCGTGTTTATTATTTTACCTCAATCTCACTTTAAAATATTTATGGCAACTAAGGAAGGGCTTGAGGAAACACTCAAGGCTTTTGGAGACAACTAATTGTGAACTGTTTGTCTATGAGACCAGCACTGAGATCGCTGCAATTGCTGATTATGTTAGGCAGAGTGAAACAGCTAACCAAAAAGGACTCAAGAATGACTTACTTTTTCATTTTGCTAGTCTTTCTTGAACTTAAGTCCAGTAAGTTCATGCCCATTCTCTTGTGTATAGAGATAATCCTCAACTTACAACTCTAATTGAGTCGGGAATTATAGTCATAAATTGTGCTTTTTATTAAACTGGTCACCATGTGCCTGACTTTTTTGCAATGGTCATTACCCCATTTTCCTTAATGGGTATTTTTGCCAGAAACTGGAAGCAAAAAAATAATAATCACAAAGCACAGTCATGTGACTGTGGGATATTGCAATCATCTATAAATGATATAGATATTTATAGATATTTATGATATAGGATATTGCAATCATCTATAAATGGCCAAGCAGCCAAAATATGATCACATGACTGTGGCCTCCTGCAGGGAACGGGCCTCTATAGAAACTTTGAATCTGAGTTGTAAGTAGTTCTGGGGAGGTCAGTTGTAACTTCAATGACTAGGTGACCATTTGTAAGCCGAGTACTGCCTGTAGTATTAACTTTCTTAGATCCTGGTCTTCTGATCCCAGAGAAGACCTAAATTTCTTGGGAACATTTTCATACTGTCATGTTTCTGCTCTCAAGTCCCTCAAAAGTGGTCTGGAATCAATCTATTGCTGGTGATTTCAAAACACCCACATGGGTTTCCAACTAATCAAGGACGGAATGCAAAGAACATATTAGTCAATAGTTCTCCCCTATATAGTTTATGTTATGTACATCTGTAATTGCAAATAAATAAATAAATAAAATAAATAAAATAAAACTGAAAGGTTTCTATAAGGGAGAGCTAATAGACATCCAGGCATCATCCTTCTGTTGCTCTGAAAATCTGTGAATTAATAGTGTCCCAATGTGATTTATAATGTCTTGGTAGGAACAGACTTGGAATATTGCATCCAGTTTTTGTCACCACGATATAAAAAAGATGTTGAGACTCTAGAAAGAGTACAGGTAAAGAACAGTTGCAGAATTTGGCTATGTCTAGTCTAATGAAAACAAGGACTAGGGGTGACATAATAGTACTGTTCCAATATTTGAGGGACCACCACAAAGATGAGGGGGGTCAGTCTATTCTCCAAAGCACCTGAAGGCAGGATAAGAAGCAATGGATGGAAACTAATCAAGAGAGAACCAACTTAGAACTAAGGAGAAATTTCCTTACAGTTAGAACAATTAGTGGAATGGCTGATGGGTTTTTAAGAAGAGATTGGACAGGTCTAGGGTCTCCTGCTTGAACTTCCAACTATGTTATTCTGTTATTATTCTGATCCTATAACATCTGAACCTCTGTGGGGAAGGAAAGGAAGTTCATTTGAATGTATATCTAGGAGTGGATTGAGTTGAGAGCTCCTGCCAACCAGACCTATGGTTCTGCATAGCATAGCATGGCGTGGCATGGCATGGCGTAGCGTAGCATAGCATAGGATAGCAGCACTCATCACAAAAGAAAAAAAATTGTCATCTCTGTTTTTCAACTGAATCATAGCTGAGCTGGAATGAACTCAGCTCAGCTGCTGAACACAGGTCAGGTGCTGTTGCTGAAGGTGCAGGGCAAGGCCTTGTGTACCAATGCCCCAATTCATCCTAGGAAGTTATGTTAGTGCAGCTCACAGAAAATCATAAGGTGTGATACTACTTTGAAAAAAGGGTGAATAAAATGCTGGAACAAGTCACAGGTAGACCAACTGGATTTCATCAGGCCCACCCACATATTTTTAAGATTACATTTGTGGTCATAAGGAGTAGAAGCTTGGAAACAAAAAGAAAACTAAAACTGGCCACCACGCTTATTTATTTTTTATTTTCCAAACTCCACAGATCTAAAAGATCGAATCTTTTTTAAAAATCCCCACAGATGTTCACATATTCATCTTAGTTGTCTTAGCCTTGTTTTCACACTTTAGTGGATGGAGCAGTTGCCTCTGAATAGTTTCTTCTCCAAATATCAGTCATCTAGGGAGGTGCTGAAAGAACAGTGTAATTGGATCCTACAAATCTCCTATACTTCACTAACTTGCCATGTGAGGACAATTTTCAAATGTACATTCCTCTCACGTGTGGCAGATTTTTGGATTAAGAAACGATTAAAGAGAATTTGTGGGATTGCGAGACATCTTTCTTGTGCTTCTTGTGAAGTTTGACCAGCCCTTCAGGGCAGGGTGTTTTCAATCTCTGTGGAAAATAAAGGAGAGCTTTAAGGCATCTTGATTTGTTTGTGTGTCAGAGACACAAGAAGAAAGGATGAATAACTACGTAAGCAAATAAAAATCTGCAGGCACACCAAGTGGTAAATCAGACCGGATGTATGTGTCCAGTAGATGTATATGAGTGTGTGTTTATGTTACAAGTGGTATGTAGAGCAATCTGATGGCCATATCTTTACCCAGCTTTGTTTCTGAGTCTTTATTATTCAGGTCTATTTTACCAATTTGTGCCACCCTCAAAATGATGAAAGGCTTCCTTTCTGTGAATACAATATGTAAATGAAGCTTCTGAGGGCTTGCTTTGCAATTCATTTATTCTACAACTAAAGGGACGGACAAAAAGCTATGCTGAATGCAGAAGCCAGAACCACCCATGTGAGGTTTCACGTGGACCCACCCACCAACCCACTGCAGCTTCTGAGATTTCACTAGCATTTCCCACACAGTTTTCGGGGTGAACTTCGCACCTGCATAGGCTAGGAACTTGCAACTGGATCTCTGAAGAAACTGAATTTTGCATCATTCTGTCTTGGATAATGTGATCTAAGAAATGCAAACTATACATAGATGTAATTTTACTGATTGGGTAAGTCCCTCCCCCCCATTTTTTGCCCATTCTATCTAGCCCTGTATGGGTTCCACATAGTTGGCAGGGTAGAGGCCCACACGTCCACTGTCGGTCACTCCTTTGCACCAGCCTTGTTCATCCTCATCTTCCAATTTGGTGAGAAGCTCTCCTGGAAAGAAACAGCAGAGGAGAATCTCATAAATTATTTCAGATAATGAAATAGTTTGATTAAGTGAACTGATCTGCTATCAACCTCCATAAATCAGGTAGTCCTTGACTTACCACAGTTCATTTAGTGACCGTTTGATGTTGCAACGTTTTTCACACTTATGACCATTGCAGCATCCCCATGATCCCCTGATCAAAATTCAGATGCCTGGCAACAGGCTCATATTTATGAAGGTTGCAGTGTCCCAGGGTCATGTGATCCCTTCCTTTGCAACCTTCTGACAAGCAAAGTCAATGGGGAAGCCAGATTCGCTTAACAACTGTGTTACTAACTTAACAACTGCAGTGTGTCAACCTTGCAATGGACCTGGCCAAAGTCATTTTGCTCGTTTTCGTTGCCACAAAATAAACATGTTCTTAGAGGAAAACTCAAACCTTGGAGTTCTGTTTTAATTGGTCTCATTTATCAAAACCATGTCATAATGATTCACTTAGCAGCTGTGGCAAGGAAGGTCCTAAAATGGGACAAAGTTCACTTAACAAATGTCTCACTTAGCAACAGAAATTTTGGACTGAATTGTGGTCATAAGTCGAGGACTACCTGTATTAGAAAATGGTTTGGTATATATTCTGAAATAACAAGATTTCTGGGTTGCTTTCCAGAAACATTTTTTTCAACATGGTATCCAAATATAGTGAAAAACGTTTAAATATTTATTAATGTTATTGTAAGGAACTAATTAACTAAAGATCTGTATAAAACAGATACATAAAACAGTACTATTGTTAATTCCAGCCTTATTCTGCTATTGTTACATTTAGAATAGGCAGATTTTTAATATGATTCTGGATTGATTACTATTTGTTGAAAACACATTTGTTCTTCTTGGCTATATTCCCAGAGATTAATTTAGAATCTATTCAGGCAAAAGGGTGGATTGTGCAAGCATGAAGACTTACCAAAAGAATTAACATACATTACTGGAAGAAAAACTGTAGATCTGATTTGGAGCAATGAATTTTTCTTTTTGTTATGTTTTTTTAACAAAAGAGAAAAATAAAAAGGTTTTATATGGTAACATTTTTTTGTCATTTTGTTTATTACATCCTTTTTCAGACCCATCTTCCTCTCTGCATCTTTTTTAACATGAATTTTAAGTAAAAGAAAAACAAAAAACATACAACTTCAAAACCAGCCATCTTAAGTTCCAACATATCAAAAATAAGAAGTTATAATACACCATCTATTTTATCCAGCTAAAAGCAGACTGAAATCAATCAGATTTTAGAATTGTCTTTCCCTTCCTGGAACGCTTCCTTAATTCCCAGCTCAGGTTAGCTATTGCTCAAGGGAGCCAGCATGCCCACCAATTCAATTATGCCTACAAGTAGGCAATTGTAGCTAAACTGGTTGTTCTTGTGGTGTTACAATACTTTCACAATAGCATTGTGATTGCTGGCTAGCCATGCCTTTGTTCAGAAGATTGCTTGTTAATGGCCCAGAGTCTTGATATTTCCTCAAGGAAAGCTAATGTTTGGGGAAGATCTCTCTCAGGAATCAGCCCCCACAGCTTTGAGAAAATGAGCCACATGTGCCTTGCTGAGCCTGAATGAGTAACAGGATGAAATGACGTGCGTGCACAGTCCATGTTCTGGAACAAGAGTCAGAGATGCCTGTTAGTTGAGGCTTGAAGTATCTTGGAGATCTGGAATACAGTAATAACTCCGACACTGGAAGTAGTAGGCATGATATTTGCCTTCTATGTCTGGTTTGTAAGGCATCTGCCTCGTTCACGAATATTATTGGTAGTCCTCGACTTATGACCACAATTGAATCCAAAATTTCTGTCACTAAGCAAGACATTGGTTAAGTGAGTTTTGCCCCATTTTACGATCTTTCTTGCCACATTTGTCACGTGAATCACTGCAGTTATTAAGTAAGTAAGTAACATGGTTGTTAAGTGAAGCTGGCCTCCCCATTAACTTTGCTTGCCAGAAGGTTACAAAAGATGATTGTATGACTCAGGGACACTGCAAACATCATAAATATGAGTCAGTTGCCAAGCGTTTGAGTTTTGATCACCTGACCATGGGGATGCTGCAACAGTTGTGTGAAGAACAGTCAGAAGTCACTTTTTTCAGTGTCGTTGTGACTTCGAACATCACTAAATGAACTGTTGTAAGTCGAGGACTAGCTGTATTAGTGTTCCCCTCTGCCCACAAAAAGGAGGAGAAGACCCTTCCTTGGTCATGGTCTCCTGGCCGAAGAAACTCAGCTAGTCAGTTGGACGAAAGGCAAATAGATTTCCCATTAGAATCTGCATAAATAAATATTCAATAGGGTTGTGAGAGAAAAGAAGGAGGAACACTTTAATCTTACCTGCCTTATGCAAATCCAAATTTGTACTGCCAACTCTACTGAAGATAAGGCACTTTTCAGTACTGCAAGGGTGGGGATGGATAAAGTTTGTCTCCCAAGAACCCTAATGATGAGTTGGCCGCCCTCTTCTCCTGCCACCCCTCTCAGCCTTAACAGTAGGTCCCCAGGCCGAGTGCAATTGTAGAGAAGGAGGGAGTCAAGTCTTTACCCACCCAGTGGACAATGAATGAGCGCCCTAGGGTTGGAGGCTAGTGAAAAAGAGACAGCTCCCTCTTTCTCCTGCCACCTGTATTTATTTATTTATTTATTTGTTTATGGTTTGATTTGATTTGATTAGATTTGTATGCTGCCCATCTTGTCTAGATGGTATGGAGGAATGACTTTGGAAGGGAGAATCTCACATGGGACAATTGTCGTGTAAAAGATATTTCAGCCACAGAAGGGGGAATGGTGTGGGAGATGTTTCAGAAGGGAAACTAGTTTTTTGGAAATTAAAGAAGGGGAGAAAACTTTTACCTCGCAAGATTCTTTTAATGTAACCTTACAAAAGAGTAGTGGTTAAGGCACTGGGCCAGCTGAGTGACTTTGGACCAATCTTACCTTCTCAGTCCTAGGAAGCATGTAATGGCATACCACTTCCAAAATCTTGCCAAGAAAATTGCAGGGAATAATTCAGGAAGTTGCTAAGCCTCAACAATGACTCAAAACAGATCAAAACCCAAACCCAAACTTACAATAAAGATAAAATTATCACCCCTAGTTGTGTTTCTTGTCTGGATAAAATTGCATGCCTAATACCACCCCTCTCAGCCCTGGCTGGAACAACCTCTAACAAACAGAACCTCATCCTTAGTAACCAGTGAGTTACCCTCATCCTGGGTAACCAGTGAGTTTCTGTCAAAACTCACTGGTTACCCAGCCTCAACCCATTCAAGTGCAGGAATTGATGGATGCTTTCTCACTGCCTGGTATGTTTAATGGGACAGAAGGAAACCAAAGTCAATAGTACCCTTCATGTTCTTTCCTTAGTTCATTGTAAATGAGGATACCATTTAATGGCACTCTTCTATGGCAGAATAAGGGTCAACACTGGGATAACAAGCATTATGCTACGTACTGTTTTCTGTCATTTGAGGAGCTGATAGATAGCACTGTATCTAAGCTGCTTGTAGGAGTGTTGGGGAGAGGCAGGACTATTCTCAGTTAATCCTGACCACTTTGGTATAGGAATAAATAATACGAGACAAATAAGGCTGTACTTATCACCTTGTAACTGGAAATGCCACTAATTCCTGATCCGGCAAGCAGCTAGAGCCGATTCATGAATAACAAAAGCCAACAACTTTACTATCTACCACTGTATTATAAGAATCTCACAAGGAAGCTTGCCTTCCCCTGGGAACAACTAGAGAATGCTTCATGGATTGTTTGTGTATGTGTGTATGTGTGCGTGTGTGTGTGCGCGCGTGTGCACGTGCATGTGTGTGAAGCTTATGTCACTTGCAGCTGCACAAAGACTCCAAGCTAGGCCCTTGCTTGACTCCTCCTTCCAGCCTGGCTGACAGTTTCCCAACAGTCCCAAAACAATTGATTGCTTAACCCCATGCTTAGAATTTCTTATAGGAAAATGAAGAGAATGAAAGAATATAAATGACAAGAGAAGGGAAACCAGAGTCCATTTCAGGAAGTTGGAACAGATTCATGTCCATTTTAATACCAGTCAGTCTCTGCAGAGATGGCTGGAAGACTGACGTTGTGTGGAAGAATTATGACGATAACACTCACCTGCCTTGAAACTTAGCTCATCTGCTTCCTGACCAATATAATCGTACACGGCACGAACCCGCTGGCCTGGTATTGGTGCAGGTGCTGGCTTCGGACTGTAGAAAGGAGGGAAAAATGTGACTATAAGTGACCTTGTTCAACCTTTGCTTATTACACCTACCCTAATCTTTCTGCTTATCCAACAAGAGACAAAGGCAATGTATATGGTAAGCCACAAATATTAGGTGTTATTATATTATAGTTTAATGTGAAGTATGAAGCATTGACTTATGGAAGATCACCAAGTGAATTTCATAGCCAAATAGAAATATACATCTGGATTTCTGTGGAACCATTGCAAATGTTAGCATCTGGTTATTTCTTTGCTTAATCATGTGAGTGAGAATCATAAATGTAGGAACTAACAAAGGACTGAAGATCTATAAATAGTTAAAAGGATTCTTAATTTTGGATGGCCTGCTAGCTAGCTGAACTCTTAAGGACTCCATAAATACAGGGATTGTCTTTCCAAGATGAGATTCCAAGAAGAAGTTAGAGATTCTAGTTAGTTCCTGACTTATGGACCAGAATTTTCACTGCAAAGCACAGTGGTTATTAAGTGAATCATGCCCTGTTTTACAATCTTTTTGGCCATGGTTGCTAAGTGAACACTGCAGTTGTTAATTGAATCATGTGGTCCTTAAGCGAATTTGGTTTCCCCCATTGACTTGCTTGTTGGAAGTTGGTTGTGAAGGTCGCAAATGGTGATCACATGACCCCAGGATGTTGCAACCATCATAAATACATGCCAGTTGCCAAATGCCCGAATTTTGATTACATGACCACAAGGATACTATAATGATCATGTGGATGAGAACTTGTTGCAAGTTACTTTTTTTTTCAGTTCTGTTGTAACTTTGAACAGTCACTAAACAAATGAACAAAGTCGAGAACTACTTGTAATTCCTTGGTTTTAGGAAGTCTTGGCTTGGAGGTCTGCAAGAGATATGGATCGCCAGTCCCTGAGAACATATTTAATGTCACTGGGCCTAGAAAACCAGGAAGTTAGTAAAATTGTGACAGGCTGCTTAATTAATCTTGTGAAGGAGATTTCATTTTTTACAAGGGTAATTTTATCTACATTCTAATTCTATACCTCTGTCTCTTTGTTTGCTTGGATTACTTACAAATTACTGATTTTGGCAAACAGATCTCAGCTTCATAGAACTGCTTGCAGTACTGTATCTTAAAAAGTTAAATCATAGTAACTGGACCATTTATTAAAACTGAGACTTTTGGCCTGGATGACTGAATCTTCATTTACACACTGCTTGCAGTGAAACTCTCCTTGCAAATCTTTCCTTTGTTGTCTTCATTAAATTAAAAAAAAAATCCTTTTCATGGTTATTCCACTATTGGACTTCTAATCTCTCATTTTATGCTTCAAAACTGCTTGGGCCTGGTAACCTTGCTAAGAGGGGAAGTGCTTATTCTTGGGGGGAAATGGTTCCTGTCTTAGGATAAATTGAGAACAGGTTTAATTTTGAAGTTAGCATTTTATTCCATTTAGCTTCCTGCTCCTGTACTGGTAGTCCTCGATTTATGATTGGTTGTTTAGTGACTATTCAAAGTTATGACGGCCTCCGTCAAAACCTGCTTATGACCCAGTTCCAAAGTTCTGATGTTCGTATTTCCCCCCCATAGTCACATGACAGCATGGCAACTCTCCCACATTTATGGCCATTTGCAGTGCCCTATGGTCACATAACCATGATTTACAATCTTTTTGCTGGGAACCGGAGTTTACTTCTGGTTTCTGACAAAAACTGCCTCCTACCAAACAATGAGTTCACTTAATTACCTTAATTTTCACTTAATGACCGCCATAAAAAAACGTAAAATCAGGTTTGGTTATGACTCACTTTCTGATTGTCCAATTTATCACCGTAATAGCAGGCTCCATTATGGTTGTGACTCAAGGGCTACCTGTACTTTTGCAAGTGTTGTTGACATTATTAAGCAGAGAGAATATATTTCAGCTCTGTAATTGCTAGGCTGCATTGCCTAGTAGATATTGCTCTCTTAAGGGACGTAAAGGAGCAAAATCAGTCTTCAAATATTCCTTGACCCTGAAAGCAAACTTAAGTCTCCATTCTTTGGAAAGCAAGATTGTTTTTTTTTTTTAAGTAAACCATAAACATTCAAAATCACTTACTTTGTGTCCTGAGCCTGCTGAAGCATTCAGCAGGCTCAGAAATGTTACAAATGGTGCTGGGCAGACCAAAAGCTGCACAGGACCAGACTGGCTGTCGCCAGCCTTGTGCGCATGCGCAAGGCGCGAAAACAGCCAGATTCCTATTGGCTAACACTGTCTGGGTTCAGGACAGTATAAAAGGCCTGCGTGCCTTTTCGGTGGTAGCTGGTTGTAAGGAGGAGTCAATAAAGCTTGGTGTTCACCATGTGTCTTTGTTTAATGCCTGCGACCCGAAAACATAAAACTGGCGACGAAGGTGGGATCGCTGCAGGCAAGCGGAAGATTCACAACTGAATCAAAGACTCACTGAAGGTCCTGAAGCTTGGGAAGTTGGTGTCCAGCTCTATGACTCAGCCTGCCAGTACAGCATCGCTGAAGGTGAGCTTGGCAAACGGACCCCTTCCCCCCAGTAAGACAAGCCTTGCAGCGAAAGGCATTAACGAGGCCTGTGAAGACTTAAGATGTCGAAGATTGCCCGCTTATCTGACTTTGATGTCTCCCACCCGGAGCGCTGGAATTCATACATGGCGCGGGTGGAGAACTACTTTAGGGTCAATCAGATAAGGGAAGACAGCCTTAAAGTGGCAACCCTGCTGTGTGTTTGTGGGCAGGAAATGTTCGACATAGCAGAGAACCTGGTGGCCCCTGCACTTTTAGAGTCAGTAACTTATACTGACTTAAAGAAAATGCTTAAAGAACATTTCCAGCCTAAACTTTCTGTAATTGTTTGGAGGCACGTGTTCGAGCAGAGAGACCAGAGACCGGGTGAGTGTGCTGTGGACTTTATTGCTGCCTTAAGACAAGCAGCCAGGCCTTGTGAATTCAAGGACCTGGAAGAGAGGCTGTGAGATTGTTCTGTTTGTGGCCTACGAAGTAGGGAGCTGCAACAGAAGATCTTCTCCAAGGAAGAATTTTCATTCCAAAATGCATTGAGAGAGGTTGCAGCTGAAGAAGCAGCAGGCAGAGCTGTGAAGGCTTTGCAGCTCGCCAGAAACCCTCCAGCCACCGTGACCGTCCATCAAGAGGTCGCTAGAGAAGATCCAGAAACAGATCCTGAAGAGGAGGTGGATAGGCTACACCAGCCAGCTGAGAGAAGGCCAAAGGAGCATCCAGACAAGGCTTCAGCATCTCCTCAGTGCTTCGGGTATAGAGGACGCCACAAGCACGCGGACTGCAGATTCCGTTCCGCCATTTGCCGGACATGTGGAAGGCAAGGCCACATTGCCTCCATCTATTTGGGTTGCCAGAAAGTCCAACCTCAGGAAGAATTGCTTCAGAAAGGTACCAGGGTCCCCAGCCAACACAGGGTGGGTTTCTGCGCATTGCACAGGAGTATTCTGAGGATAGGGACACACAAGCCCCTTTAAAAAAAGCTTCGCATTGACGTGAAGCTGCAAGGGGTTCCCTTATCAATGGACTTGGACACAGGGTCCGCTCTATTGATCATTTCACATGTCACCTTCAAAAGGAGCAGTAGTAGTGGCCTTCGAGTCAAACTCAGGCCATCGAACCTAATCCTCACTGACTTCCAGAATTCCAGAGTCAGCATGAAGGGGGAGGCTATGCTCAAAGTGCAGTGTAAGGCTTTTGAAAGCCTACTAGATGTGGTGGTGTTGGGGGTGATCGCACAAGTCTCATTGGATTCGATTGGTTCGAGGCCCTTGGAATCCAAGTGACTGGGCTGCACAGCCTGCAAACGCCATGCCTTGCAGAAGTCTGCACGGAGTTTGCTGATGTGTTTAGCTCAGAGCTTGGCTCTTACAAGGGGCCTCCCATTGCTCTACGCTTAGACCCAACTATCACACCTATTAGGATTAAGGGTGCCTTTTGCAGAGCTGGACAAGCTGCTCCAGCAGGGCATCTTAGAACTTGTGAACTCTAGTCCATGGGAAACTCCCATTGTAACACCTTTAAAGGCTAATGGAGAAGTCCAAATTTGCGCGGACTATAAATGTACATTCAACGAAGCACTGCAACAGCATGCATACCCAGTCCCTGTGGTAGTTCACACTCTAGCCTCCCTCAAGGGCGGGCGCATTTTTGCAAAACTTGATTTGGCACAGGCCTACCAACAGCTACCTGTTGATGAGGCAACAGCTGAGGCTCAAACAACAGTAACACACAGAGGAGACTTTAAGATTAAAAGATTGCAGTTTGGGGTTAATGTAGCCCCTGGCATATTCCAAAATGTCATGAAGCGCACACTTTGCGGTATTCCTGGAGATTGTCCCTATTTTGATGATGTCCTCATTGCTGGGGAGTCATCTCTAAACTTAGCTGAGAGATTAAGGGCTGTCTTGCTTCGTTTCCGCCAAGCAGGTCTGAAACTGAAGCAAGAAAAGTGTAAGATTGGAGTCACTTCCACTGAATTCTTAGGTTTCAGAATTGATGCTCAAGGCATCCATCCTGCTGAATTGAAGCTTCAAGCGATTCAGCAGGCCCCAAGCCCCAAGTCCAAAAGCGAGCTGCAAGCTTTCTTGGGGCTCTTAAATTTCTATCATGCATTTCTTCCACACAAGGCTGCAGTGGCAGAGCCGTTACACCGGCTCTTAGATAAACAAGCTCCATGGCAGTGGACTAAAGTCCATGAAAGGAGTTTCAATGAGGTTAAGGCCTTGTTCTCTTCAAATGCTGTATTAGCGCATTTCAATGAGCAACTGCCTGTATGCATCGCATGCGATGCATCTCCTTATGGGGTGGGAGCAGTACTTAGCCATCAGTAGTAGTTCCTATGGCCTACTACTCAAGGACTCTTCATTTGCAGAGCGGAATTATGCTCATATTGACAGAGAAGCCTTGGCAATAGTGGCTGGCATAAAGAAATTCCATGATTTCTTATATGACCGCCACTTCATGGTCTAC